CCTGTCAAGTTTTGTCATAATGAGTTCAATAGTTTGAGAAAAATCTAGTATAATGTAAGATGACATCTACAGCGATTCGAGCAAAATTTCTTCGAAAAATCCAAACCAAGCCGCATCATGATAGAATATAGTGTGGACCAATAAATGATCAAATATTTATCTCATCTGCCTACAAACAGTTAAAGATGATACAAAAGATGACTTTAGGATGATAAATACTACTAATGGACCTCTTTGTCTTCCTTATAAGGTCTCTTTTGGTCCATTTATACCTCCCATTTCCTCAAAATTTCTACTTTTTAGGCCAATAAATAAAAATTTTAGGGTAACCTTCACTCATTTATGATAGAAATGTTATAATAAATGATTAATTGAAGTATTCAATCTGAATGAACTATCCATATAAAAGTTTACTCTCTCCAAGGAGGTTTCGATAAGTCCTTACGTAAAACTTAAATGTAGGCCGCGTTCCAGAGAGGGACATAAAAAGCTTCTCTTTTGGTGAATAATTTGTTGTTACTGCTTTAAAAATAATTTCATTTACTTAAAACTATATATTTATTAAAGTATTTCTTAGGAAAAATTTTCTAGTATAGCAGAATATAAGAAATAAGGAGAAAAAGCTCCCCAAAGCTCTAAGTATGGCTTGTTCTGTCAACTAATATTCATGGTAAAGTCCTATTTCAAGGCAATTTTCTCATAAAATGTGTTTTGGAGACTCAATCCACTCAGAATATTTCATTACTTGTAATATTTCACTTAAATAGCAAGAAATAACCATCACTGGAAGTTAACCAATCAAATTTTCCCCCTTTTTTAACCTGTATACAAGCTTTAGTAACCATGTAACCTCAAGTTTCCAAAATATTCTATAGAAACCCCAAATAAAAAAATAATGGTGCTTTGAAATACCCAAGATATATGTATATGACCCAGAAATGATTTACTGCAATGAAATGTAGGATCAATTACCTACAACTGTCAAATTCAAGGGAATATTTTTTTTCGACCTATTTTCGTATGCAACCGGATGTGACGTACTATGATTTGGTGGTATTACACCTAAAGATCACCAAGATAGTAAAATTCCAAATTTTTTACACAAAAGGACCAGATATACATACATTGTGTATTTTCATAAATATCTATTAGGCATTTTTGATCACATGCAAGCACCATAATAATATTTATATGAAAGTGGTTGTTCATATAGACAAAATTGTGTAATTTATTAAGTTGGTACTTTCATGTGCTCAAAGGGGTCTAAAAACTATGCAAGAAATGACCCAAATCTTTGGAGTTTTTACAAAAACATGTAGAAAGGCCTTTTTCGTGACGTTAAAACTGCATTTATTGTGACATCAGGGGTAAAAACTCTTGTTTTTTTTTTATACGACCGCAAAAATTGAAAATTTTTTGGTCGTATATTGGTATGACGTTGGCGTCGTCGTCGTCGTCGTCGTCGTCGTCGTCGTTGTCGTCGTCGTCGTCGTCGTCGTCGTCGTCCGGCGTCGTCTGGCGTCGTCCGAAGACACATTGGTTTTCGCACTCTAACTTTAGTTTAAGTGAATGGATCTCCATGAAATTTTACCATAAGGTTCAATACCATGAAAGGAAGGTTGGGATTGATTTTGGGGGTTATGGTACCAACAGTTAAGGAATTAGGGGCCAAAAAGGGGCCAACAATAAGCATTTTTGTAACTTCCAGACAATAACTTGTGTGTAAGTGTATGGATCTCTCTGACATTGTACCACAAGGTTCCATATCACAAAGGGAAGGCTGTAATTGATTTTGGGGGTAATTGCCTCAAAATGTTAGGAATTAGGGGCCAAAAAAGGGGCAAAAAACAAGCATTTTTCTAGTTTCATGACAATAACTTGTGTGTAAGTGTTTGGATATTTCTGAAATTGTACTACAAGGTTCCATATCACAAAGGGAAAGCTGGAATTGAGTTTGGGGGTAATTGCCCGAAACGTTTAGGAATTGGGGGCCAAAAAGGGGCCAAAAATAAGCATTTTTCTAGTTTCCAGACAATAACTTGTGTTCAAGTGTATGGATCTCTCTGAAATTGTACTGCAAGGTACCATACCACAAAGGGAAGGCTGAGATTGAGTTTGGGGGTGATGAATCATAAGGGGGTTCAAAAAATTTTGGGGGGGGGGGATTTTTTTTTTTTTCTTTTTTTTTTCTTTTTTTCCTTTTTTTTTTTCTTTTAAAATTTTCCATTTTAAGTTGGTTATTTCTGATTTATATTTAAAAGCAAATAATAATGATATGGTAGGAGATACACACCAAACAGGATGTGTAAATTATTATATAATAAGTATTGTGCAATAGCAAGAAATTTTCAATTGCACAGTATTGCACAATAGCAAGAAATCTTCAATTGCACAGTATTGCGCAATAGCAAGAAATCTTCAATTGCACAGTATTGCGCAATAGCAAGAAATATCCAATAGCACAATATTGCGCAATAGCAAGAAATTGTCAATTGTACAGTATTGCGCAATAGCAAGAAATAATCAATTGCTCAGTATTGTGCAAAAGAAGATACTTCGTATAAATTGCTTATTTCTTGATCAATTTCAATGGGGTTTTATTCTTGAATTCTTGGGGTTCTTTAATATGCTGAATCTAACCGTGTATTAAGTTTTTAGATTTTGGGCCCCGTTTTTAAATTGGTCCACATTGAGGTCCAAAGGGTCCAAAATTTTACTTTGTTTGATTTCATCAAAAATTGAATTATTGGGGTTCTTTGATATGCCGAATCTAACCGTGTATTTAGATTCTTAATTTTTGGTTCTGTTTTCAAATTGGTCTACATAAAGGTCCAAAGGGTCCAAAATTAAACTTAGTTTGATTTCAACAAAAATTGAATATATGGGGTTTTTTGATATGCTGAATCTAACCATGTATTTAGATTTTTGATTATGGGCCCAGTTTTCGAGTTGGTCCAAATCGGGGTCCAAAATTAAACTTTGTTTGATTTCAACAAAAATTGAATATATGGGGTTCTTTGATATGCTGAATCTAACCATGTATTTAGATTTTTGATTATGGGCCCAGTTTTCAAGTTGGTCCAAATCGGGGTCCAAAATTAAACTTTGTTTGATTTCAACAAAAATTGAATATATGGGGTTCTTTGATATGCTGAATCTAACCATGTATTTAGATTTTTGATTGTTGGGCCCCGTTATCAACTTTGTCCACATTGAGATCAAAAGGGTCCAAAATTAAACTTTGTTTGATTTCATCAAAAATTGAATATATGGGGTTCTTTGATATGCTGAATCTAACCATGTATTTAGATTTTTGATTATGGGCCCAGTTTTCGAGTTGGTCCAAAATTAAACTTTGTTTGATTTCAACAAAAATTGAATATATGGGGTTCTTTGATATGCTGAATCTAACCATGTATTTAGATTTTTGATTATGGGCCCAGTTTTCAAGTTGGTCCAAATCGGGGTCCAAAATTAAACTTTGTTTGATTTCAACAAAAATTGAATATATGGGGTTCTTTGATATGCTGAATCTAACCATGTATTTAGATTTTTGATTGTTGGGCCCCGTTATCAACTTTGTCCACATTGAGATCAAAAGGGTCCAAAATTAAACTTTGTTTGATTTCATCAAAAATTGAATATATGGGGTTCTTTGATATGCTGAATCTAACCATGTATTTAGATTTTTGATTATGGGCCCAGTTTTCAAGTTGGTCCAAATCGGGGTCCAAAATTAAACTTTGTTTGATTTCAACAAAAATTGAATATATGGGGTTCTTTGATATGCTGAATCTAACCATGTATTTAGATTTTTGATTATGGGCCCAGTTTTCAAGTTGGTCCAAATCGGGGTCCAAAATTAAACTTTGTTTGATTTCAACAAAAATGGAATATATGGGGTTCTTTAATATGCTGAATCTAACCGTGTATTAAGTTTTTGGATTTTGGGCCCCGTTTTTAAATTGGTCCACATTGAAGTCCAAAGGGTCCAAAATTTAACTTTGTTTGATTTCATCAAAAATTGAATTATTGGGGTTCTTTGATATGCCGAATCTAACTGTGTATTTAGATTCTTAATTTTTGGTTCCGTTTTCAAATTGGTCTACATAAAGGTCCAAAGGGTCCAAAATTAAACTTAGTTTGATTTTAACAAAAATTGAATTTTTAGGGTTCTTTGATATGCTGAATCTAAACATGTATTTAGATTTTTGATTATGGGCCCAGTTTTCAAGTTGGTCCAAATCGGGGTCCAAAATTAAACTTTGTTTGATTTCAACAAAAATTGAATATATGGGGTTCTTTGATATGCTGAATCTAACCATGTATTTAGATTTTTGATTTTTGGGCCCTGTTATCATTTTTGTCCACATTGAGATCAAAAGGGTCCAAAATTAAACTTTGTTTGATTTCATCAAAAATTGAATTCTTGGGGTTCTTTGATATGCTGAATCTAACCATGTATTTAGATTTTGGATATTGGACCATAATAGGTGAATGTCCAATTTAAAATTTTTAAGTTCTTAGACCACATTCATTCTGTGTCAGAAACCTATGCTGTGTCAAATATTTAATCACAATCCAAATTCAGAGCTGTATCAAGCTTGAATGTTGTGTCCATACTTGCCCCAACTGTTCAGGGTTCGACCTCTGCGGTCGTATCAAGCTGCGCCCTGCGGAGCATTTTATTTTAATTTTGCCACACCTCAACTTTAAAACAGAAATGAAAATGTCATCTTATATTGAAATTCTAAATTTGAATGAAAAGTAAGGCCAAATATAAAGACCTTTATTGCACCTTGCCCTTTTCATTATTCTATATACAAAAATTGTGTTTCTGATATTTTGAGTAGTTGTAGGGATTGATGGCTATATGTATGATTTCAATTAATGTTAACAAATTCAAACTTCTAATAGTCATCCCATTTTCAATATATTGCAAAAAGACACATTTTTTTTACATCTGGATTGATAAAAAATAAATAAATCTGATATTGCAGGGTGGCAAAGAGCATGGTGTTCCAATCTTGATATCAGAAATCCATGAAGGTCAGCCTGCCGATAGATGTGAGAACCTGTATGTAGGAGATGCTATACTGTCTGTAAATAGTATTGATCTAAGGAATGCCAAACATGCAGAGGCTGTACAAGTCTTATCCCAACAGGTTTGTTTAAACTCTCAACTATCTTTAATATAATATGAGCTGCATCGGATAGAAATCAACCTTATGCAAGTGCACATATACATGTACACTTAGAAGACTTTGATTGATTTTGGAACATTTAAATACAAAATAAAAGATGAATTTAGGTCTATTTTGTAGGGTTCCTGCATCGACTCAATTCTCAAACAGTTACAGACTTTGCATAGAGATTTTTTTAACCCGAAATAGGTTAACAGATGTGTTGATATTTATTTGCATAAGTTTGATATCTATCCGACCCAGCTCATATGATAAGCTGATGTCAAGCCAGCATTTATCAGAACTTTGCTTATATAGAAAAGTTTACAACTTTGTGATCTCTAGATACTGTGAATTCATATATTTTTGTGGGTACCAATTTTTGTGGATTGAGAAAAACTTGTAATTTCGTGGATATTTGATTTCATGGTTTTGCCAAAGTAGGCATAAAACCTTAAAGAAAATTTGTTGAACATTTAAATTGGATGTTTACCTATACTCACGAAATCCACAAAATTGGAACCCAGCGAATAATAATGAATCCACAGTATGAAAGTTTTGTGCCTTCTGTCTCATTTCTGTCTACATTGATTTGTGTCTCGCCTTTTGTATGCGAGACATAGGTATTACTATCCGGAGGCGGCGTAAACTATTAGTATAAAGCTTATATTTTAGAAGGTAGAAGACCTGGATGCTTCATATCTTGTATGCAGATACCTTATGTTACGAAGTTTCCGTTAATCACATGTCCATTGTCTGACCTCATTTTCATGGTTCAGTGACTGCTTGAAAAAAAATTTGAGTTTTTATACTACTGCAAAAAAATTTTTGTGGTCGTATATTGGTATGACGTTGTCGTTGTCGTCGTCGTACGAAGACACGTTAGTTTTCGCACTCTAACTTTAGTTTAAGTGAATGGATCTCAATGAAATTTTACCATAAGGTTCAATACCACAAAAGCAAGGTGGGGATTGATTTTGGGGGTTATGGTAATCACAGTTAAGGAATTAGGGGCCAAAAATAAGCATTTTTGTAACTTCCAGAGATAACTTGTGTGTAAGTGTATGGATCTCTCTGACATTGTACCACAAGGTTCCATATCACAAAGGGAATGCTGGGATTGATTTTGGGGGTAATTGCCTCCAAATTTTAGGAATTAGGGGCCAAAAAGGGGCAAAAAACAAGCATTTTTCTAGTTTCATGACAATAACTTGTGTGTAAGTGTATGGATCTCTCTGACATTGTATCACAAGGTTCCATATCACAAAGGGAATGCTTGGATTGATTTTGGGGGTAATTGCCTCCAAATTTTAGGAATTAAGGGCCAAAAAGGGGCAAAAAACAAGCATTTGTCTAGTTTCATGACAATAACTTGTGTGTAAGTGTATGGATCTCTCTGACATTGTATCACAAGGTTCCATATCACAAAGGGAATGCTGGGATTGATTTTGGGGGTAATTGCCTCCAAATTTTAGGAATTAGGTGCCAAAAAGGGGCAAAAACAAGCACTTTTCTAGTTTCATGACAATAACTTGTGTGTAAGTGTATGGATCTTTTTGAAATTGTACTACAAGGTTCCATATCACAAAGGGAAAGCTGGAATTGAGTTTGGGGGTAATTGCCCTAAACGTTTAGGAATAAGGGGCAAAAAAACAAGCATTTTTCTAGTTTCCAGACAATAACTTGTGTTCAAATGTATGGATCTCTCTGAAATTGTACTGCAAGGTACCATACCACAAAGGGAAAGCTGGGATTGAGTTTGGGGGTGATGAATCATAAGGGGGTTCAAAAAATTGGGGGGGATTTTTTTTTCCTTTTTTTTCTTTAAAATTTTCCATTTTAAATTGGTTATTTCTGATTTATATATAAAAGCAAATAATAATGATATGGTTTGAATAGGTAAATTAAAAATTTTTAAGTTCTTAGACCACTTTCATTCTGTGTGAGAAACCTATGCTGTGTCAAATATTTAATTACAATCCAAATTCAGTGCTGTATCAAGCTTGAATGTTGTGTCCATACTTGCCCCAACTGTTCAGGGTTCGACCTCTGCGGTCATATCAAGCTGCGCCCCAGCGGAGCATTTTATTTGTCATGTGAAATTCTCACTTATGAGTAATAGGATAACTATATTTGGTAAATGGGTTCCTTGTAAGGTCTACATGTCTGTCAGACAGAGTTCACCTAACCTTAATGTATCAGTGATCAAGGTTAAAGTTACATGATTAGGTCCGTTTTTCAAATACTATAAGCTGTAGGTCAACTATATTTGGTGTATGGAATGATTGTAATGGGTACATGTCAGTCTGTCAGGTATCATCCAACCTTGACCTCATTTTCATGGTTCATTTGTCAATGTTAATTTTTTGTGTTTTGGTCTGTTTTTCAAGTACTATAAGCAATAGGTCAACTGTATTTGGTGTATGGAATGATTATAAGGTACACAAGTCTGTCTTGCGGGTATCATTTGACCTTGACCTCATTTTCATGGTTCATTGGTCAATGTTAAGTTTTTGTGTTTTGGTCTGTTTTTCAAGTACTATAAGAAATAAGTGTACTATATTTGGTATATAGAAAAATTGTAAGGTGTACATGTCTGTCTGGCAAGTATCATCTGACCTTGACCTCATTTTCATGGTTCATTGGTCAATGTTAAGTTTATTTGATTTTATCTGTTTTTCAAATACTAATAGCAATAGGTCAACTATATTTGGTGTATGGAATGATTGTAAGTGTACATGTCTGACTGGAAGGTATCATCTGACTTTGACCTCATTTTTATAGTTAAATGGTCAATGTTAAGCTTTTGTGTTTTGGTCTGTTTTTCAAATACTAATAGCAATAAGTCAGCTATATTTGATGTATGGAATAATTGTAAGGTGCACATGTATGTCTGGCAGGTATCATCTGACCTTGACCTCATATTTATGGTTCCTTTTAATAAGTTTTTGTGTTTTGGTCTGTTTTTCAGTTGGCATAGCAATAGGTCAACTATATTTGGTATACGTGTATACAAAAATTGTAAGGTGTATATGTCTGTCTGACACAATTTATCTGACCTTGACCTCATTGTCATAGATTTTTAAAAATGTTAAGTTTCTGTAATGCTTTTAGTAAAACCTTTTCCTTTAAGACTCTCAACATAAAATCAATGGTCAGTAAAACAGGTGAGACATTTCAGCGTGTGCACTCTTGTTGTATGTTTTTAAACAGAAACTATATTAGCCTTGAATTTAGCTCAAATTTGATCTATGTTGCTATTTAAATCAGAATACAATTATTCAAAACGCTTATTTTAAAACTTGTATATCCTTCCATTTTTTATTTACGCAGGAAATATAGATCTAAAAGTAAAGCTTGCCTCCCTTAATTTTACGAATACAAGAGATGGAGATGTAGAAGTAGCTTTTCTCTTGCTTGAGTTTATTTTTAGAAGATAAAGAATAGAAGTAATGTGTGTCTCCCTTGATTTTTTACCCCGGAAATTTAGAACTAGAATATATGTTTGTCTCACATAGTTTCTATTTTAATACAGGAGATAATGTAACTTCAAAAATTATTGCGTGCATTTATTATTGGGATTTTCAAAGAATGGACAACAATGCAATGTTAATTATTGTGATTTCAGTTCTTATAAATGCAATTCTCACCAAGTCGCATTATTTGCATTAATAAAAACCTTTCAATAATTTCTGAATTTACAACTAGAACTTGTTTGTCTCTTGTTTTCTACTCTTAGACATGAGATATAGAACTAGAACTTATGTTTGTCTCTCTTATTTTCTATTTTTAGACGGGAGATATAGAACTAGAAGTTATGTTTGTCTCCCCTGATGAAGATAGTGATGATGAGAATCATGAATATGAAGATGAGAATGGTTTTAGGTAAAGTTAACTTATGATACTAATATCAGCATACACTACTCATCTCTAGAATAAGCTAGATCATATGTGCGCAGGACATAAAAGTTGAAATTCCAAAGACACAAAACTGCATTTATTGTGACATCAGGCATAAAAAATGTATTGTTTTGAACAGAAATAAATTGAACTCCTATATCAAAAGTTCAAATTTCAGTGAAAAGTTAGGCCAGTAAAGACCCTTTTTGCACCTAGCTTATAGACCATCTATGGTCTGCAAATTGTCAAAAAATATCATAAGGACCTAAGAGCTATTCATCTCTAGAATTAGATCATATGTAGGCAGGACATAAAAGTTGAAATTCCAAAGACACGAATAATTTGAGATCATCATAAAATGAAATAGAACAAATCTGTTTAATGTCAAGTCTTCATAAAGGAATTGCTACCTTGATAATAGCACAATTACATAATCTAGAAGCTGAAAATTATCATCAAAATTGTTATATTCCCACTTTGGGAGTGGTTTCTGTTACACGTTTCGCAGACACCGCGTAACAGAATCACTTTATATTTGGTCAGCAGCTTGACAATTATGAGTTGAAACATATGACCACTCTTCCAAGTCTGACAGAACCTTCTTCCAGCTGATGAATACTTTAAATTGTTAATATGTTGAATAAACTTAAAAGAACAGAATGTCTTCATATTTAGTCAACAGCTTGGCAGTGATGAGTTGTAACATGCAAGTGTTTTTTTTATCTGTCAGACAGCCACTTCCTGTTTTCTGATACTTTGACTTACAAGTTGTTCGGCTTAGCACACAACACACCCAATTATGTTGATTATGATAAAATCAGATAAATGGTAAAATCAAAATAGAATTTTAGAAACACCCCTGCATTCAGTGTGTTAATCAGATTTTCTGGTGTGATCTCAAAACTTTTTTTGCAGATACAGAATATATGACGATGAAGTTCTAAGTACAGCAAGTGAAACAGACAAGGCAGATCACTCTACTCATAAAACCAAAACTAACAGTTCTGAACAAATGTCAACAAATTCTAGTCCTCTCAGGTAAGGGCAGACCACTCTACCCATAAAACCAAAACTAACAGTTCTGAACAAATGTCCCCTGCTGCCAACAAATTCTATTCCTCTCAGGTAAGGGCAGACCACTCTACCAATAAAACCAAAACTAACAGTTCTGAACAAATGTCAACAAATTCTAGTCCTCTCAGGTAAGGGCAGATCACTCTACCCATAAAACCAAAACTAACAGTTCTGAACAAATGTCAACAAATTCTAGTCCTCTCAGGTAAGGGCAGATCACTCTACCCATGAAACCAAAACTAACAGTTCTGAACAAATGTCAACAAATTCTAGTCCTCTCAGGTAAGGGCAGATCACTCTACCCATAAAACCAAAACTAACAGTTCTGAACAAATGTCAACAAATTCTAGTCCTCTCAGGTAAGGGCAGATCACTCTACTCATAAAACCAAAACTAACAGTTCTGAACAAATGTCAACAGATTCTAGTCCTCTCAGGTAAGGGCAGACCACTCTACCCATAAAACCAAAACTAACAGTTCTGATGAAATGTCAACAAATTCTAGTCCTCTCAGGTAAGGGCAGATCACTCTACCCATAAAACCAAAACTAACAGTTCTGAACAAATGTCAACAAATTCTATTCCTCTCAGGTAAGGGCAGACCACTCTACCCATAAAACCAAAACTAACAGTTCTGAACAAATGTCAACAAATTCTAGTCCTCTCAGGTAAGGGCAGATCACTCTACCCATAAAACCAAAACTAACAGTTCTGAACAAATGTCAACAAATTCTAGTCCTCTCAGGTAAGGGCAGATCACTCTACTCATAAAACCAAAACTAACAGTTCTGAACTATTAAATGTCAACAAATTCTGGTTACAATACACCATTAGATTTTATGGGCGCAGCCATTTTATGAGCATGGTATTCAGAATTAAGAGTATAGCTAATCCTGATTGGTTGATATGTGCGCCCGTTATTTTTTGTTATTAGAGACTTCGTGCATTCTGCATTATACCAAAGGCCAAATAAATTATTTTCCTTAGCCCTAACAGAACTGAAATGTCTTTTAAATGCTAAGATGAGACACGTATTTTTAAGTGCAAAATTGATAGGCATAGGAGATAAGTACAAATTACGCTAAGAAAAGCAACGCGAACCTATATTTTTTGGACCAAAAAATACTGTCCTAATAACTTTTCTTTAATTCTAGCAAGGTTTTCGTTAAAAAAATCAACTTTCTGAAGTCTGTATCTCGAAAAAGGCTATCATTGTCGCCTAAGGGGAAATTAATTGTTTATTTCAATCTATACAGCGTCGACATTTCTTTATCATAGTGCTCAAAAAGTGTCAAAAACAGTAATTTTACTTGATATTTGATGTGAAACCGTATTTTTTGGTGACAAATGAATTATTGATTAACCGGTTTTAAGCTATAGTCTGTTTCATTTTTGTATTGCGTTTTACCTTAGAAACAAGGGTGGGTTCGACTTTTGACTTACTGTGGAGAGAATATGTCATTTTCTGAACTTCTGCTGATTTGTTTGAAAAAAGCACGTACACGTCTAGAGTTTGGATATACAAATCGATTTTTAAACATGACAATCTCGATCCAAGTGCTGTTATCGAAATTACCAAATTCAGTGAAAATGTACAGAAATGATCCCCTTCGAACATTGAAATGTTCACTCGAATGACAGACTATAAAAAAGAGAATAGGCATGACATTTTGTAGTTAACGAATAGTTTTCGATGTTTAAACACAAATATTTACACATTTTTCATATTTTGAAATGCTATAGTCTGTTTCAAAAATGTACTTTTATACGAAAATGGTTTCATTTAAAATTGTTGTTCAAAATTCACCGTAGTAGTTACATATTGGATCGGTTTTGGTATCAATATAATCAGTACTTGATGACATACAAAGAATCATTGGAGAAAGTGGACATTATCTTCAGGCCCTTTTTAGCAGAACCGCATTTACTCAAAAAATCAGAAAATTTTTTTCCCCATTTTTTGACTGGGGTCACCTCTGATAAAAAATTGTGAAAATTCAGAGAGTAATGCCAGAACGTTTTGAAGATGATTTTTGTGTGGCATATATATTTGTGCATCTAACGAACTATGAATTGCATGATTCTAGAAAGTATTAAATACCGTATAGGTTACAATACACCATTAGATTTTATGGGCGCAGCCATTTCATGAGCATAACATGGTATTCAGAATTAAGAGTATAGCTAATCCTGATTGGTTGATATGTGCGCCCATTATTTTTTGTTATTAGAGACTTCGTGCATTCTGCATTATACCAAAGGCCAAATAAATTATTTTCCTTAGCCCTAATGGAACTGAGATGTCTTTAAAACGCTAATATGAGACACGTATTTTTAAGTGCAAAATTGATAGGCATGGGAGATAAGTACAAATTACGCTAAGAAAAGCAACGCGAACCTATATTTTTTGGACCAAAAAATACTGTCCTAATAACTTTTCTTTAATTCTAGCAAGGTTTTCGTTAAAAAAATCAACTTTCTGAAGTCTGTATCTCGAAAAAGGCTATCATTGTCGCCTAAGGGGAAATTAATTGTTTATTTCAATCTATACAGCGTCGACATTTCTTTATCATAGTGCTCAAAAAGTGTCAAAAACAGTAATTTTACTTGATATTTGATGTGAAACCGTATTTTTTGGTGACAAATGAATTATTGATTAACTAGTTTTTAAGCTATAGTCTGTTTCATTTTTGTATTGCGTTTTACCTTAGAAACAAGGGTGGGTTCGACTTTTGACTTACTGTGGAGAGAATATGTCATTTTCTGAACTTCTGCTGATTTGTTTGAAAAAAGCACGTACACGTCTAGAGTTTGGATATACAAATCGATTTTTAAACATGACAATCTCGATCCAAGTGCTGTTATCGAAATTACCAAATTCAGTGAAAATGTACAGAAATGATCCCCTTCGAACATTGAAATGTTCACTCGAATGACAGACTATAAAAAAGAGAATAGGCATGACATTTTGTAGTTAACGAATAGTTTTCGATGTTTAAACACAAATATTTACACATTTTTCATATTTTGAAATGCTATAGTCTGTTTCAAAAATGTACTTTTATACGAAAATGGTTTCATTTAAAATTGTTGTTCAAAATTCACCGTAGTAGTTACATATTGGATCGGTTTTGGTATCAATATAATCAGTACTTGATGACATACAAAGAATCATTGGAGAAAGTGGACATTATCTTCAGGCCCTTTTTAGCAGAACCGCATTTACTCAAAAAATCAGAAAATTTTTTTCCCCATTTTTTGACTGGGGTCACCTCTGATAAAAAATTGTGAAAATTCAGAGAGTAATGCCAGAACGTTTTGAAGATGATTTTTGTGTGGCATATATATTTGTGCATCTAACGAACTATGAATTGCATGATTCTAGAAAGTATTAAATACCGTATAGGTTACAATACACCATTAGATTTTATGGGCGCAGCCATTTCATGAGCATAACATGGTATTCAGAATTAAGAGTATAGCTAATCCTGATTGGTTGATATGTGCGCCCATTATTTTTTGTTATTAGAGACTTCGTGCATTCTGCATTATACCAAAGGCCAAATAAATTATTTTCCTTAGCCCTAATGGAACTGAGATGTCTTTAAAACGCTAATATGAGACACGTATTTTTAAGTGCAAAATTGATAGGCATGGGAGATAAGTACAAATTACGCTAAGAAAAGCAACGCGAACCTATATTTTTTGGACCAAAAAATACTGTCCTAATAACTTTTCTTTAATTCTAGCAAGGTTTTCGTTAAAAAAATCAACTTTCTGAAGTCTGTATCTCGAAAAAGGCTATCATTGTCGCCTAAGGGGAAATTAATTGTTTATTTCAATCTATACAGCGTCGACATTTCTTTATCATAGTGCTCAAAAAGTGTCAAAAACAGTAATTTTACTTGATATTTGATGTGAAACCGTATTTTTTGGTGACAAATGAATTATTGATTAACTAGTTTTTAAGCTATAGTCTGTTTCATTTTTGTATTGCGTTTTACCTTAGAAACAAGGGTGGGTTCGACTTTTGACTTACTGTGGAGAGAATATGTCATTTTCTGAACTTCTGCTGATTTGTTTGAAAAAAGCACGTACACGTCTAGAGTTTGGATATACAAATCGATTTTTAAACATGACAATCTCGATCCAAGTGCTGTTATCGAAATTACCAAATTCAGTGAAAATGTACAGAAATGATCCCCTTCGAACATTGAAATGTTCACTCGAATGACAGACTATAAAAAAGAGAATAGGCATGACATTTTGTAGTTAACGAATAGTTTTCGATGTTTAAACACAAATATTTACACATTTTTCATATTTTGAAATGCTATAGTCTGTTTCAAAAATGTACTTTTATACGAAAATGGTTTCATTTAAAATTGTTGTTCAAAATTCACCGTAGTAGTTACATATTGGATCGGTTTTGGTATCAATATAATCAGTACTTGATGACATACAAAGAATCATTGGAGAAAGTGGACATTATCTTCAGGCCCTTTTTAGCAGAACCGCATTTACTCAAAAAATCAGAAAATTTTTTTCCCCATTTTTTGACTGGGGTCACCTCTGATAAAAAATTGTGAAAATTCAGAGAGTAATGCCAGAACGTTTTGAAGATGATTTTTGTGTGGCATATATATTTGTGCATCTAACGAACTATGAATTGCATGATTCTAGAAAGTATTAAATACCGTATAGGTTACAATACACCATTAGATTTTATGGGCGCAGCCATTTCATGAGCATAACATGGTATTCAGAATTAAGAGTATAGCTAATCCTGATTGGTTGATATGTGCGCCCGTTATTTTTTGTTATTAGAGACTTCGTGCATTCTGCATTATACCAAAGGCCAAATAAATTATTTTCCTTAGCCCTAATGGAACTGAGATGTCTTTAAAACGCTAATATGAGACACGTATTTTTAAGTGCAAAATTGATAGGCATAGGAGATAAGTACAAATTACGCTAAGAAAAGCAACGCAAACCTATATTTTTTGGACCAAAAAATACTGTCCTAATAACTTTTCTTTAATTCTAGCAAGGTTTCGTTAAAAAAATCAACTTTCTGAAGTCTGTATCTCGAAAAAGGCTATCATTGTCGCCTATGGGGAAATTAATTGTTTATTTCAATCTATTAGTCCTCTCAGGTAAGGGCAGATCACTCTACTCATAAAACCAAAACTAACAGTTCTGAACAAATGTCAACAAATTCTAGTCCTCTCAGGTAAGGGCAGATCACTCTACTCATAAAACCAAAACTAACAGTTCTGAACTATTAAATGTCAACAAATTCTAGTCCTCTCAGGTAAGGGCAGATCACTCTACTCATAAAACCAAAACTAACAGTTCTGAACAAATGTCAACAAATTCTAGTCCTCTCAGGTAAGGGCAGACCACTCTACCCATAAAACCAAAACTAACTGTTCTGAACAAATGTCAACAAATTCTAGTCCTCTCAGGTAAGGGCAGATCACTCTACCCATAAAACCAAAACTAACAGTTCTGAACAAATGTCAACAAATTCTAGTCCTCTCAGGTAAGGGCAGATCACTCTACCCATAAAACCAAAACTAACAGTTCTGAATAAATGTCAACAAATTCTAGTCCTCTCAGGTAAGGGCAGATCACTCTACCCATAAAACCAAAACTAACAGTTCTGAACAAATGTCAACAAATTCTAGTTCTCTCAGGTAAGGGCAGATCACTCTACTCATAAAACCAAAACTAACAGTTCTGAACAAATGTCAACAAATTCTAGTCCTCTCAGGTAAGGACAGATCACTCTACTCATAAAACCAAAACTAACAGTTCTGAACAAATGTCAACAAATTCTAGTCCTATCCAGACCACTCTACTCATAAAACCAGAACTAACAGTTCTGAACAAATGTCAACAAATTCTAGTCCTCTCAGGTAAGGGCAGATCACTCTACTCATAATGCCAAAACTAACAGTTATGAACAAATGTCAACAAATTCTAGTCCTCTCAGATAAAGGCAGATCACTCTACCCATAAAACCAAAACTAACAGTTCTGAACAAATGTCAACAAATTCTAGTCCTCTCAGGTAAGGGCAGATCACTCTACCCATAAAACCAAAACTAACAGTTCTGAACAAATGTCAACAAATTCTAGTCCTCTCAGCTAAGGGCAGACCACTCTACCCATAAAACCAAAACTAACAGTTCTGAACAAATGTCAACAAATTCTAGTCCTCTCAGCTAAGGGCAGACCACTCTACCCATAAAACCAAAACTAACAGTTCTGAACAAATGTCAACAAATTCTAGTCCTCTCAGGTAAGGGCAGACCACTCTACCCATAAAACCAAAACTAACAGTTCTGAACAAATGTCAACAAATTCTAGTCCTCTCAGGTAAGGGCAGATCATTCTACCCATAAAACCAAAACTAACAGTTCTGAACAAATGTCAACAAATTCTAGTTCTCTCAGGTAAGGGTAGATCACTTTACCCATAAAACCAAAACTAACAGTTCTGAACAAATGTCAACAAATTCTAGTCCTCTCAGGTAAGGGCAGATCACTCTACTCATAAAACCAAAACTAACAGTTCTGAACAAATGTCAACAAATTCTAGTCCTTTCAGGTAAGGGCAGATCACTCTACCCATAAAATCAAAACTAACAGTTCTGAACAAATGTCCTCTCAGGTAAGGGCAGATCACTCTACCCATAAAACCAAAACTAACAGTTCTGATCAAATGTCAACAAATTCTAGTCCTCTCAGGTAAGGGCAGATCACTCTACCCATAAAACCAAAACTAACAGTTCTGAACAAATGTCAACAAATTCTAGTCCTCTCAGGTAAGGGTAGATCACTCTACCCATAAAACCAAAACTAACAGTTCTGAACAAATGTCAACAAATTCTTGTCCTCTCAGGTAAGGACAGATCACTCTACTCATAAAACCAAAACTAACAGTTCTGAACAAATGTCAACAAATTCTAGTCCTCTCAGGTAAGGGCAGATCACTCTTCCCATAAAACTAAAACTAACAGTTCTGATCAAATGTCAACAAATTCTAGTCCTCTCAGGTAAGGGCAGATCACTCTACCCATAAAACCAAAACTAACAGTTCTGAACAAATGTCAACAAATTCTAGTCCTCTCAGGTAAGGGTAGATCACTCTACCCATAAAACCAAAACTAACAGTTCTGAACAAATGTCAACAAATTCTAGTCCTCTCAGGTAAGGGCAGATCACTCTACTCATAAAACCAAAACTAACAGTTCTGAACAAATGTCAACAAATTCCAGTCCTCTCAGGTAAGGGCAGATCACTCTACCCATAAAACCAAAACTAACAGTTCTGAACAAATGTCAACAAATTCTAGTCCTCTCAGGTAAGGGCAGATCACTCTACCCATAAAACCAAAACTAACAGTTCAGAACAAATGTCAACAAAATCTAGTCCTCTCAAGTAAGGGCAGACCACTCTACTCATAATGCCAAAAACTTAACATTCTAAGATAAATTCAACTTTTCTATATTTAAGTGATATTAACCTTCCTAAGTTATTTCCTACATTTACATATGTTTATTTTTGTTCATGCATTATGTTTGTTTATATTGTTTGTCTGTAATATCATGCCTCATGTAAGGCCTTTAATGAAATAAAAAGTTTCAATTTGAGCAAGAATAAACAAATTCAAATCCTTTCTGGTAAAAGGAGACCAATCTACTCATTAATCTAGAACAGCTGTCAACAAAATAATGTCAACAAATTCTTGTTTTCTGAGATATAAGGGACAATTACTGTACTAAATAATCTTTCATACAAAACAGTTTTAAGCAATTACCAGAAGATAGTGCTACTCTAAGTTATATTCTAGTTTCTGTGTGCAGAGCAGATTAAATTAGTCATAATATTAAAACAAAAAGTACTTTTGCATCATTAAAGTAGAGGGAGTATCATCACGCTTTAGAATCAACTTACAAAAATAAGGAGATTTGGTATGATTGCCAACGAGAAAATCAATTTATGTCAAAACAATAAAAGAAAAACAAATATGACAAACAGCAACTAACACTAAGTAACAGGCTTCTGACCTGGGACAAGCACATAAACAATGTGGTGGGGTTAAATTAGTTTGTGAGTGCTCAACCCTTCCCCTTACCTTTGAATAGTAGTGTGACAGTACAAAAATCACACAATTCATAAAGTCAGTCAAGGGAAACAATTTTTATCAAACATTAAAAGAATATATGTATTACAACTTACAACTCCAGTTAGCGCCATGTGTCAATATATGTATTTGTCTCAATATAAATTGTGACAAAGATTTAAAAGGTTTTCCTAAATTCAAGATTTGAGGCGCATTTGTGTGTTTAGCAATTGATCACATGACCTTCAGCTTTCCACTTATTTCTAATTTTAGATCACCAGGAGCGACAGGAAGTAGTAGCAACAGTCCTAGCAAGAGAATTGATGTAGGAACGTTCCATACAAACAACATACAGGACTCTAACAAAACAGAAGAATCTCCGGCTTTTGATTACAGATAATCAAAAATAACATTGTTATGTTAAATATAATGCACATTAATTGTTTTATTAATGGTATATTTCAGATTTTATCAGTTTTTGTTATTTATGACTGTAAATTGTAATTGTTACATAGATAAGGCCGTTAAAGAATTGCTCTCATTTTCTTGTCACAATTAACGATAAATTTCTTGCCAAAAGTTCAGAAATGAAGAAGATCTATTCTTGAGGTGGTATGGGTGTCTTCAGCCATCTTGGATTGTATAATAGTAGAACACTTTTAAATGAAGTCAGCAAATTTTTGTTGCCAGAATACAATTTATTAAAAAAAAAATTCTTTTAAAGGAACAAATTTATGTGATTTTATATTATAATTACTAAAATGTTTCCGTTTTCTGTTTTATGTTATAGTCGGAAAAAATTAACTGTGTTTTTCTTTTGATATTCTTAAAACACTTTATGAGAGCTATCTTCTCATATTTTATTTAAGATTTCTATCTATTAGTTTACTGTCTATTCACATTATGATGCTTTTCACTATAATCCATACATAATGTGTCATTTTTTCACAACCTGTATCTTCAAAACAAGTTTGGTGACCTATCATTTATATTATGTTTTTGAACATATCACAATATATACTACATTTTAGCTAAGGAAGAAAAACCTCTATCTGTATACTCCCATACTACTTTAGTTTGACATCATCCTTGTACAACGGATATTTAAAAACTGGCCCCAAAATGTTCAACCAGTCCAACAATAGCATTACACAGCAAGGATCCAGTATCAATTTACAGAATACTACAGCAATATACAGTGCAGTAAACTGGATTCCTGTTGTGAAATTCTACTGTTGTTCCAAACAGTTTATTAATTACCAATCAAGATTGATATCCAATGGATAGAGGTACATTTATCAGTACTATTTCTGAGAAACTGACATTTTTTTTAACAGCCTTATAAACTATAAGTTAGTACGTTTTGTAGTCAATACTCATTAAGTTGAAGAATTCCTCTAGATAAATGAGTACATTGTTACGATTATACAATATATGAATCATTTCATGATTCAAAACTTTCATTGATAGATAAGGGCATAATTTAATTGCAGAATATTTTGTGCCCATATTCTCCCATGACTTTGTGTAGAAAAAGTCTTCATTGATCATTTATTTTAAATTGTTGTAATTACTACAAAAATAACAAAGACTTCTCATTGATAAGGATTGATCAGTTTTCTCTGCCTGACATTTCAGCATCATTATACCCAATCATACAATTTGTTTTTTACTGATATCAACAGAAATTAACTCCCTTAGGATTTAATTTGATATTATTTTGATACATGTACTTAATAAATAACTTCAGTACCACAATCCTATTGGAAAAATTTTCAATTTGAGGATGTTGTTTTTAATTTCTTTAGCGAACACCACTTCAGATTATCCCTTGAAGAGTGGTATACATTGAATTGTTTGTTTGTTTATTGGTTCTACTTGTTTACTGGTTGTAAATATAACATCAGATTTGTCATTTGTTAATATAGACAAGTTACTTGTTTTGTTGAACTCAAAGGGACCAATAAGATTACATAAACTTACCTTAAACTGGTCACTTATTCCATCAGATCACTCAAGCGTGCACAGTTAACTGTGTCATGTTCATTTTATTATTTGTTTTTGGCCATGTTAATTAGTTATTAAATAGGACATAAAACTTTCATTTTGTTAGAATAAGGTCTTTTGCATGTAGCTTTGGTTTTAAAAAAATTGTTGTCATCGATGATATATGTTGAAATTGTTATACTTCTTATAAAAGTAACTTATTATATATGAGATTTCTCAATATCAAAGATTTATAGATTAAGTGTTCCTGTGTATGACATTTTAGCATCATTCTGAATTGACATAGCATAATTCTTTGCAGATGAGTTTTTTTTATCAAAATAATTTTTTGTAGACTAAAAAATTAAAACATCGAACATTTTATTGAGATATCTGTAAAATAATTGGAAGTATCTGTATGATAACCTTGAGCACTAGAAGTAGGAACTGAACTGATCACTGAACATATTGCTGCTCTTCAACTGAAAATAAATAGAATAACATAGCATCATTCATTAGGCAAACATATCTTCTGGAAATTTTTTACCAGTGGTATTTCTGAAAATGATGTATTTTGAATTTAAACCATTAACAACAGTAAAACAAAATAAAAACAGATAACATATTTCCTCAAGGCGTATCCCTTATGGCCTTTGTGTACTTGTATTTGTGTAGTCCATTATCACTGAACTAGTATACATATTTGTTTAGGGGCCAGCTGAAGGACGCCTCCGGGTGCGGGAGTTTCTCGCTGCATTGAAGACCCATTGGTGGCCTTCGGCTGTTGTCTGCTCTATGGTCGGGTTGTTGTCTCTTTGACACATTCCCCATTTCCATTCTCAATTTTATTAATTTCATATTTATGAAATCAAAATCGAGAGACACATAATTATACAAACATTATTTTTAATTTGAAGCTTTTTAAATACTTTCACTGAAAGCAGAAACTAGAACTGCTCTAGTTGAGCTTGGGTGAAAGATAATGTCCCTAAATCAAGTCGTTTTCTTGGAGTAATATTGATTTTTACCCTTACAAATTCTAGAGGAATGTAAACTTATAAAATGTTAGAGAATATAATGTATTTTAATGTAAATAGAGTTGCAATACTTTTCAAATCGACTTATGTTTCAAATTGTTTTCTTTGTTCATGTTTAATCCTATTTATTTTAGGATTTGTCATATAAATAAGGGTTTGGATGGGGGTCATTTTTTTTTAAATTATTTTTTCTTTAATTTTGTAGACATTATTCTCCATTCTTTATTTATTTTGCCTAATTTTCTCGATTCTTTATTTTTTTTGTCCTTTATTCTGCGCTTTTTGCCCATTATTCTTTAAACCCCATCCACACCCTCATAGATGTCTAGAAATAAAATTACCGGTATACAAGTCATATATGAATATGTATCTGAAAGTCACTGACAATCCCATTTATTATATGAGTGCATCTTTTTTTTATTTATTTTAGCAAGATATTTTGTTACTGCTTAGCTTTTTTCATAGGTTGTTAGTTTATGTGGTTTTTTTTTTTGCTGTAGAAATTAATGCTTGATTGTGATAAAGAATAATTGTTTTATAGTTGCTAACTTCTACGTCATGCGTCTTTGGTGGAAATTTGTCTCATTGGCAATCACACCACACCACATCATCTCATTTATATTTTGTATTTGGTCTGAATATTGTATCATTAGAAGCTTCTGTTAGGAATACATCAATTTAGATCCTCAATTTCTTTTGAAAGAACATTGGGGAATTAGGATGTATGTAATTTTTCCATAAATTGGAGAAAATGTCCTCCAAATTGAATAATCAGTTTTTACCCTGCTTCGACAAAGTCGAAAAAGCGAGATTTAGGCTGTTTTCTGGGGCGGCAACAATGTATTAGTTTGTGATTAAGACTGCGAGACATATCTCAGTGTCAATACTTTACTACAATGTATAATGTATGTGCAAAAAGTTAACCTGAAAAAATGTTCCAAGTTGTGAAATGTTTTTTTTTTTTTTTTGTAAGCGTCTTGTGCAAGAAGTAAATAAAATAATTTTTATGGCTGTGCATTCTATATAACTACTATAGATTCATTATTATATGTATTTGTGGGATACCAACTTATGTGAATTCCATGGTTACAGAAGAATCATAAAATTAAAATGTTCAACGAAAAACAAATATTGTATAGGCTTGTATGCAGACAAAAAAACGAAAACACAATTTTTTATGAAAAAAAAAAATTGGTACCCACGAAAATAAATGAATCCACAGTATATGGTTTACAACTGTACTAATGTGGCCACAGGGGGGTCTCTTCCTATATGAAGGTATTTACATATGTGCCGCTGGAATGGGTCCCTTTTTTGATACGTCAAATATATCAATGGGGTGCAATTTTACAGAGGAAATATATCAATAGGTAGTAATTGACAAATTGTGATATATCAATGGGTCATAATTTTTCAGTTTGTTGTGAACGATCTTCACTGAATTTCCCAAACTCTTTATATAGATATATGTATAGGTAGGGATTTCACAATTATTCAATATATGAATGGGGGGCGTTTTTTAAATCCCAGCTGCACAACTGTACCCAAAATCCCATGTTGAGACCCCCCGTGAATGTGGTACTGAGGTCCACAAAAAAATACATATAAAATTTCCTATTAAATGTAGTAAAAATTTATATGTTAATAGGGGATACATGTAGAAATAGTAACTTTTTTTTCTTATTCAAGTTTTAAGTGGTGCAATTAAACTGTGATTCAGAAAGGTATTGAGGGGGAATTGTTTTTATTGGTAGACAAATCTAGTTTTTGAATATAACTAATGTTTGTGTGACCTATTGATACTACGGCATTGTTGATAGATGACTACATTGAAGGTTGCATTCATAAATTTACACAGGAAAATTTTCTTCTCTTGTAAATTCTAAATTACATATTTACAGTTACATCCCTTGGAAAATCTAACTTTTAAGGAAAAAAAGCAAATTTGTTGAAATCTATTTGGGGATTGTCAGTCCTTGTGGCTTATGTATCATTTTCTGTAGTTATGTATATTATAAAACACTTCAGATTTTTAGTGGTCCTTGTCAAAAGTTTCCAGTCATGTCTGACAAAGACTGAAAAATTTCAACATCTCTGAGAAAGATTTAAAAACAAATGTCAATTTTGTTCAGTATCATATATACATGAACTCATTAATTGTAAAGAAGCTACTGTCGATTAATTATTATTCTTTGGATACCAATTTTCGTTGATACAGATAAACCACAAATTTTATAGCGCTTGAATACAGGCTTTGGCAAAACCACGAAATCAAATATCCATGAAATATACAATTTTATCTTGGTCCACAAAAATTGGTATCGACACAAATAAATGAATCCGCAGTATTATGGTTTGTCATCCTGTTTTTGGGGCCATTTTTATAGAATAATTACTATAGATTTACAAGGGCTGAATTGTCGGAGAAAAACTTTGTGTTGAATCATTACGTAACCTTTGTGTATTGTTGATATGTACACTTGATCAGGATGTTTAAAATCCATTGGTACAATTCTAAATGTTTGTATATTAGGGAATATCATATTTATATTGTGATTGTAAATAAAATGAGGAAATTTTGTTTGTTTTTTAGTTGATATTGGCAAGATCTATAATAATGCTCCCTTATGATTTTGATCTACTGTAAATTCTTAAATTTCTGCTTGTATTTATTGTGTATTTATTATGATTGATGAACAATTGATTAAAATAAATTTTTACCATTTTAGAAAATTCTGCATATAAGTAATGCTATTAAAATTTAAAAACGGAGTTTAAAATTTTGCAAAACCTTAACCATCACAAAAATTTCTGAATTTACAGTATTTCAATCTGACACTTTCATTTGATTTTTTTTGTCATCTGTTTCTTATTTACAATTGGTAAACCTTCAGAGCTGATGATTTCTACTCTAGAATACTAACATGATATAAAAACAAGGAGATGAGGTATGGTTGCCAACTATTCATCAAAGAACAAAGGTCAAGGATGTTATAAACAACTACAGGTAACCGTAAAGTCTTCAACATTGTGCAAAACCCATACCTTATAGTTTAACCATGGAATGCCTCAAGAGATGTGACATAATTCATAAGGGAAATCTAACAGCCAGATTTAACGTATCATTAAAAATCAATTATGACAGACAACTACTGGACAGTCACATAAAATGTGATGTTAAACATGCTTGTGAGCACTCAATCCTTTTCCTAATCTGGGCAAGTCTTGTGACAAAATAACATTAAAACAAACATTAACTTGTACAGAGAGTAAACTAACAAAAGGATTCCCCTACCCTGAAAATTTGATTATCTCCCTTTAAACATTTTGGATAAGGAATAGTGTTCTGCATCTGTGTAAAGTTTATACCTGCCCTGTTGTCAAGGAGATGTGCACATGACAGACTAACCTTATTTTGAAATATAGAATTATGCAAGTTCAATGATCTCCCCTTTTACACATAGGGCATCGAATATATTCCTTTATGCACCTCGGGTAGGATCCTAAAACTGTGCGAGGTTTTATTATTAAAAGTCTAGCAGTTCAGAAGAATTTGTGCTTACAAAACATGAACATTGTCATTCCTATAAGTCCCAAAAACATGGTTTGCCATTGGAATAAAGACCAGTAGGAATGGGCTGTTAGAATGGTTCAAAGCACAAAAAATATCTAAATGAAACTGCAGGCACCAAGTAGCTGGTATTGCTTTGCTCACCTGGCCTTTTTGCATAGAATTGATTCACAGTAACCAGAATATTTGGGTTGAATGAAAACTATCCTCATTTGCTGTACAGAGTTTATTCGATCTGTTATGGTTTTTACGATAATACATTAATAGGCAAAAATAAAAAAAAAGTGCACATGGTGTTATGACTCGCCTGCATTACTGATTTTAGATTGGTTTTATGCAAAAGTTCTTTAATATTAAGGTCTTACTACAGGTATCACATAAACTACTCAACATCAATGATCATGGAAATGCTACAGAAACTGACCTTACCAAGAAAAACTTAAAATTGACTAATGAACTATGAAAAAGAGGTAAAGGTCAAAAGATACTAGCCAGACAGACATGAACACTTAACAATCATTCCATGCACCAAATTTAGTGACTAAACATTAACCAATGAACTATGAAAATGAGGTCAAGGTCAGATGAACCCTTTCAGTCAGACAAGAACATCTTAAAATCATTCCCCCAAAAAAATAGTTGACCTACTGCGTAAAGAATGCAAGAAACAGACCTTATCATTTAACTTTAACCTTGACATTCATCCATTAAATGAGGTCAAGGTCATTTAACCATGTTTGACATACATACAGTCCTTGCACTGATCCTGTATACAAATATAATTATCCTACTACTCATAACTAAGAAATTCACAACCCTGGTTTTTTTTTTAAGGCCAAGGACAATGGACATGACAGATCCAAATGTCATAACATAAGGCATCTATACACAGGTATTAAAGCATACAGGTCGTCTATCTTCTAACATATAAAGCTTTATTCAAATACATTTTTTGTAGTTTATGCTGCGGCTGCAGGATCAGCAGACCTATGTCTTCCATTCTGTGACTGCAGGGGAGACAAAAATAATTAAAATTGTGATTTTTAGTTACTTCAATTTTTTTACTTCTATATAGATTTAATGTTACTGATCATTTATCATGTTCAAAGCTTCAGAATATTATCGCTAGGTTGACTGATGATTTCAGCCCTGTTGACTTTAAATTCTCGTCTTGCAGAACAATTTTGCTGTCCTGAGTGTTTATCTTTTTTTTTAATTTTATAGTTTTGAAGATAAAATCCCAAAACATAAAATAATTTGGTTGATATTTTCATTCAAGTTCAATAACTCTGGAATCAACTGACCATTTTGGCCATGTTTTGTCTAAATTATAGATTGATTCTTGCTTATTATATGAAAAATTGTCATTTAAGGTCAATAACTCCTAGAAGAATCGTCTAACAGTTTTGCTATACATAGACAGTATGTCTTGACATCCTGCACATTATTTCCAAGAAAATTTTCTCTAGCTTTAATTATTCAATTATAAAGAATAAAGGATATAGAGAAATGATGGTGTAGTTTTTTCTGCTTACTTAAGGTATAATTCCTCTCGGATATGGATTTAGACAGTAATATTGTCTGACACAATATGTTTTTAGTAACTATGGTATTGACCATTAGACTAAGTGACTGCAAAATCAAAAGTGATCTGCATCTTACTATATATCCAAGTAAAGTAGCAGTCCCACACAAAGTATTTGATTTAGCATCCAGAAACCATGTTGTGCGCAAAATTTGGTCTATTTTTAGTAACTATGGCCTTGACCTTGGAGGTATTCCTTCAAAATCAATAGGGATCTTCCTCTCATATGTGACCATTTATATCCAAGTAAGGTTGCAATCCCATAAGTATTTGAAGTCGTATCCAAAAACCACTTGGTTACACAAAGTTCTGTCTGTACTAGTATTTAGTAACTATGACCTTGACCTTTGACATTGTGATCTTTCTCTCACTAAAGGTGACCATATATCAAAGTAAGGTTGCAATTTGATATAATGTATTAAAGTTCTCATCTGGAAACGAAAATGACTGATGGCCTCATGGACTGACTGGTTGAAAGCCACAGAACGAGTGACAGACCAATCAAAAACTATATACCTGTGCTACTTCTTAGCATGGTATAATATAGACTGGTTCTATGATTGCCAGTGAGATAACTATCTACCATTCAACAAAGAACAAGGCTGCAAATAACTGCTGGTCACCATATAAAAATAAGGATATGTTGTATGATTGCAAGTGAGACAAACCTGCCAACTTTTCGAACTTATTGGGTATTTCACCATGATAAGTGTGGACCTGGCTTGAAATTCTCAATTAAATGTACTGATTGACATTTTTGTCTGGGAAACATGATTAAATCCAGTATATATTAGCTGTAATTGGCTTTGAACTAGCTTTCAGTATATGAGTACTTTGTGTATTTATCTTTTTGTTAGTCGTTTATGTGATTTGTACTTTGTGTATTTATCTTTTTGTTAGTCTTTTATGTGATTCATGTCGATCTGACAAGTCAAGCCTTTTCCAAACTGATTTTTACTGTTTTTTCTTACAATGTGCTGTTAGACCACTGTCCCAAATTTTGGGACATTTGAGCACTTGCAAACATGCTTAACCTTGTCAAATTCTGTATATGATAAATGTCCTAAACTGTATGATGACATTTATGTGTCTGTGTTTTTTTCCACTGGTGTTAGTTGGTTGCCTTTTCAAATCATTTACTGCACATCTTTACAGCTATGCATACAAATAATTTCCATTTTCCAATTAGGTGGGTGTGACTGATTGTTAAATTTTACTTGCATTTATCATTTAACTCAAGTTTCAAATTGTAAAACTGATAAATTTTTTCTTGGTCTTTTTTTAGTATTTAAAACATGTTGAGAAATGCAAAATCAAGAGTAACTTAACGATAATGATTTTTTTTCTCAAATAATTGAATGGATATATAAAATGTGTTGCTGTATTATTACAACTGAGAAATCTCTATGATTTCAACTTCCAACATAAATATTTGGTGTTATCTCAGTGGCTGTTTCCCTTATTGTTGTATACTGTAACTAAAGAAAATTCATGGGAGATAACTTCAATAAAAGATAAAAAAAAATTTGGTTTCTTTTATTATTTTTTGATGAAGAATTTTACTTTTATTTTGATCTGATGATCAACAAAATTTACTTACAAACTTACTTATTTCACCTACAAACAAATATTAATCATCATAGTGTAATATTGTGTGTTTCTACTGTGGATTCTTTATTACAAATTATCTTTAAGCTTGTATACATACTTTGGCAAAACCATGAAATCAGGAATCCACGAAAATATGATTTTTTTTGTAATTCCCGAAAATTGGTACATTGTGTACCAACAAAAATGAAAGAATCCACAGAACTTAGATCTCACATCAATGGAAACTTTGTTGTGAAATCAAAGGAAACTTTGTTAGTAGTTCAATTATAAAGAAAAAATGTTATATATAATATACAATAATGAGAGTAATAAAGCATTTACTTCTATCATTAGTATTATTATATATGTATAAAAAGAAGTGTTCTTTCTTAGAAAATGTCTCAGCATCCTGAAAAGAGAAGTAAACAAGAATATGTGTTTGTAGGACAACAGGCCCTTTCATTTAAAAAAAAAACTGTTTGCAACAATATTCAACAGTATAACCTAATATTTCGCTCTCTTAATTAGCAGAAAATGTAGTTTTTTTTTATAAATTTGAAAATATCCTTATTTCAATAAAAATATTAAAATTCTTAATATTTATCAGGTTGGATAATCAATGTACACACTGGGTTTATCAAAGTACTTGTGAACACTGAAAGGGTAAAGATTGCCTTCATTTTGCAATTTTGTGAATTTAAAATAAAACATTGAATGGTAATTAGCTAGACAAATTATAAACTTGAGTTGGAGTTATCTTCCTTTGTTCAAGATTGATCATTGAAGTTGAGTCTATTTTTATAACATGTTCATACGCCATGCATTACTTATGTAATTTTCAATAAAGAAAAGTACAGTGATTCAATACACATCATATTGTAACTTGAATACCTAATTATAACACATCATTAATAAATTGCTTGACATAGGCTGGATAGGATCTAAAGAATGATCACTTCACTGCACTATTTTATTTGAACTATCAGTTAGGTAGTGATGAACCTTGGAAGATTAAAATATCAAGTCAGTACAATAGGGTTTTGATTGCATTTGATGCAATCTTTACCCCATAAAAATGGAATGAACTCAACACATAATTATACACTTGTATCTTATGCAGTTAAATTCCTTATAGAAGCGGTCTATTGCCTTATGGGTGATTGATAATTAAAAAGGATTTATTTTGTTTAATAAGTATTTTTCAACTTTATCGTCATTTATATCTATATATATTTTTTTCTTTAATAATCTTTTATATATTTCTTTTACCCAAATATAATAAATATGATTAAGAAATTACAAATGAAAAGAAGAAGATTTATAAAATAACTAATGGATGAATTCAAATATAGAAAACGATTGACCAAACAACACAATAATTCATGAATGCTCATAGCACATGAGTTAATTATCAGTGCTGTTTGGTCGCGACTTGAATATTTTTCCATTTTTTAATTTTTTAATTCTTTGATTAGTTATTCTTTTTATTATAGGGTTTTTAATGGAATTAAAGTAAAAATGTAAGGAACTATATCTCTTTCTAAGCATTCAAAATTTGTTTTGATGCGACGTCATTAACAATGTCTTGACAACACCTATTGTTGTATGACATCAGAGGAGTGAAATAACCAAGTTTTAGGTTTTCATTTCACTGGGAAATCATGGTTATTCATTGCAACCAATGTAATAAAATGAACTATTACAAAATTGGAAAAGTTATGAATTTATGTAAAAATATCTTCCAAAAGATAGTAACTTTTTCAAATGCTAGGAAAGGGAGATAACTTATGGATTAATGAAAAATAATTATCAAATATAACTTTAAAGGGAAAATTCACCCCAAAATTTGAATAAAAATGATATTATGTTAAATAATGTAAATAATTATCTGTAATTCTATTTCTGGTTTAAAAAACCAACTCTTCAATCAGCACACCAAATGTCACTATCAAATCAAAAGATAGCAATCTACACACAAAAACAGTTAACTCTTGAATGATACGATAATAAAATCACTAAAAATGTATCCTTTTTTTAAACCCATTTGATAAACCAAGAAAATCTACAAATAAAAAAATGTGCTTCAAAATTTTCCACAACAAAAAGAAATGAAAATATTGTGATGATTCTGAAACATAAAGATCCATACTAGTATGTTTTCTGTATGTATGTGATTTGACATATTATAAGCATACAATAAGAGCAAACATTGTGCCTGAAAATATATGCAAAATAAACACTAGAAATACATATGCCCTCTGTAAGCATCTCCTTGATGTAAAATATTGAACATAATCCACTCTTGACTTTCGACTATTCAGAACAACTTTGTAGTTGTGACAGATGTGTTGAATCTTGGGTAATTTTTTGTTAATGAAAATATAAGAAGAAACGTCTCACCATTTTATATGTGATATAGAGCAGATTGCATTGAAACAAAAATTTTGTAAATAATGTCTAATCTGCACACTAAAGTGTATGTTAAGACAATCTTAGGCATATATATATATCATCACTTAATAGAGCAATTGCTGAAAAAGTAATTACAGAGTGAAATCAAGTTTCTACTGATCCTTATTGGGGCAAAAATAATTCTTTGTCCAGCTTTAGGAATGAAAAAACAAATTTTCACTTTAGAATATTTTGGAACTGCAATGCATTTTCATCAATTTACACTTTATGCCTTTATGAATATATTTCTTAGTTGCAATTTCCATGGCATAAATGGTAGTCAGCGAACGCTCTATAATAAAATGGTAAAATATTTTTACTTATATTGTAATATTGCTTCATTTTGCATAAAAGTTTGAACATACAACTGTTAGAAACATCAGAATTTGATTACTGGTATCCTTTTCAAAGTTTGAAAAATCCGAAACAAGAGTCCTGAAGTGAAAGTCATTGCCAGTGGTTTTCACACAGTAGGACGTTGTAATATTATGTTCCTTAACATTCCTGAGCTCAATTACATATAAATTATAGCAATCAAATTAAAACACTGCAAATAGCCTGTGTTGCTCACCTTGCAGAAAAATATAGATTCTACCACTGCATAAGGTGTGATACTATATTTCTTCTCTAAAGACAGTCAAATTTTTAACATTAAAATCTAACAGTAAAGAGAAATGAAATATCGTATCTCACATGACATGGTAGTAGAATCTGTTTTTCGAACAATTTTAGACAAAATAAAGCAAATTGAGTAATGTAAATTCGTAACTGAAGCAAGCTGCCTTATCATAAACAATCTGAAAGACTTTTAAGTTATGTATTCTGAAAAAAATGTATGAGGGTGGAAAATTAACTTTCATCTTACACACAATATAAATACTACCCATGAATTATTCTCAGAAACCTGAGAATACCTTCAAATCATTCAAAGCCTCACAATCCATACATTATCCTTTTTTTTCCCTTCAAACAGTACTTTTTCTGATATACCATATGCATTTTCTGTGTTTAAATTGTGATGTGAAAAATGTATATTTTTCTGCATTTCTCTCTCTCATCAATAAAACTTCAATATATATAAAAAAAAATAACCAACAAAAAACCAAGACCATGTAGTAGCTTGATGTATTCATGTCAGAACTTTGTCTTATTGTGAAAAAACCCAAACAAAGCCGACCTTTTATACTCAACTTCTGACAAGGACTATCAAAATGTCTAATTTTATTTCTATTATTTGACAAATGAAGTGGTTAAAAAAAAAACTGCCTACTTAATCTACACATATTTTATTTTATTAACTTATTTGAAACTTACACTGATTCATATAGTGTACCTTTAACCAGTGTTTCAGGATTTTCGGAAGAATTAGATCTTCCAGGTATCCATCTTCAGAGATGACCTTAATCAATGGCTTGTGTGTTTTATGTTATACATGAACAAGTGCATGTTCATACACATATAAACATATCAGAAAATTCAATGTTATAATCTGATAGTTCACATTTTATAGTAAATACTAATCTATTTCACTTTATTTTATTCTCAATTATTTCCCTGAGTAAATTATGAAGAATATATTATCAATTGTGTCATTATGTAGCACCAAGAGTGTATTTAAAAACCCTTTGTAGGGATGTTTAAGGTGGTACCCAACACCTTGACTAATATTAATTTGGCTCGTTTAATTTTCATAAAATTTTGACAAAATGTTTACTTTGACCCTTTGACAGAAATATAAAAATTTCAAAAAATTTGAACCAACCACTTTATCAGAAAAATTTCACTGGTTATATAGCAGTTTGACAAACACTAATTTTGATCACTGAGAAGCTTAATATTTCCTTAACAATACAACGTAATTAAAACGTTTAATTGATTTTTACAGAGTTATCTCCCTGTAGTGTTAGGTACCACCTTAATTATATAGAATAGAGAATGGAAACCGGGAAAGAGACAACAATCCGACCAAAGAGCAGAAAACATCCCATGGCCACCAATGGGTCTTTAATGCATTGAGTTAATCCTGCACCCGGAGGCTGGCTTTAGCTTGCCCCTAAACAATAATGTAAACAAGTTCAGCAAAATTGACGCAACACTAAACTCCGAAACATACAAAAAACCAAAATTTAAAAAAACACAGCTAGAGGTAATATATCTACCGGTACTCAACAAAAATGTTGGACAATTTAAAAAGCTGCCTAAATCATGTTTATATTAAAGGAAACTTATAGAAAATGCATTAAATCATAAGTCGTTTCTGACATTGAACAATATTAAATAAAAATACAAAAAATAGGTAACATGGGCTTTTATTTAAACTATATAAGTAAACTAAAAAAATATATATATGCATATCTTGCATGTAAATTTTATATGTAAAAAAATAACTTTCAAAACTTTTAAACTTACATATTTACAAAAAAGCATAACTTGCATTTCAAATTATTTATCTAATAAAAAAATGTAGAACTTGCTATTAATTATATACATTTTAACCAAAATAAACAAAAGGGAATAATTGTAAAAGAAAGACTTCGGCTGATATAAAAGAGAGCTGCAATGCTTCAATCAAATAAATTTGATGTGAATGACTAGTTTTGACATGAACACATGCTGGTGATTAGTTGTAAAAAAGTAACTATCAAGATTTTTCAGACAGTTAATCTAATTACAAGTTGTGAAATTTTTTGGAAAATTTCCATAATGTTTCACAATGGTCTATTTTCCGAATACTGACTTGGATTCCAATTCTAGAACTCTTTGCATAGAAAATCTACACCTGTATGTAGCAAAAACTGTATCCCTGCACAAAATTCTTGAACTGGTATCAAAGTCAGTGATTGAAAAACAGACTCGTCATCTGCCATTAATGTTTTATGAATCATATAGTTTATAAAAAGTAAACTACTAACAATGTGAAAACACCTATGTACATTACCATTACCACAATACAAGCACAATAACAACAAATTCAAATATCTGGAACAAGCAATACTTTAGCATTATAATAAATGTATAACTTCCCGGCTTCAAACTATATATTGCACTATCCTTTTTAAAAAACAAATTCAAACAAAAATTGTTTATAACACTTATATCTAGAAATGCAATGTGAATCATCGTATAAAGATAATGTAATTTTCAAATCATGTCACAGCTAGTCAAAAATATTTACTGGTTTAAAAGAGCTTCAGTCTTAAGCTTGTTAAGAAGTTTCATGGTCATTTTTTTCGGATTGAAAATATGTCAATGACAAATTATTTGTAGTAAAAGATAAACCTCATCACACAAACATTCATCTTGACAAAGGGTTGTATAACTTATAACACTTTCTATTTGGATTGACAACATGACCGTACCTTCACTTACCTTTTATGTTGCAAGGGGTCAATATAATTTTGATTTTTATACCAGTTGTTGATAAACATACATAAACATGACTTAAAGCATACTGACTGAATAATCGATTTCTGTGCAATGTAATTTATCACTTCTCAGAACAGAACATTAAAAAAAGAAGTTGATTTTACACATTTTTTTGGTGGAAATATAACATATAATTTTCAACTTTTAAATCATAATATTATGAAATTTGAGTGATAGAAATCAATATTTCTTCATATATAGCACTTTAGGCCTTCAACGCCACAGTTAATGAGTGAGTTCAACATGAGTTATTGAAATGATGTATTACAGTAGTAATGGAATTACTTTACAAAACAATCATGAGAATATATGGGAATATGAGATATTTAAATCATCATATAAACCACTTATCTACATAAATTACATGTAAGATTACAAAATAAATGAAACAACATAAATCAGTCATATGTAAATGTACATGTATTTTACAAAGTTTTCATAAAAAAATTAATGGCAGATGAGCTACTACATGACTTGGTTAGTTTTTAAATTGAACTTTGACCGAGCCTTTGATTTCAGACCTGCATACAGGACATGATTTCAAGGCAGGGGCACACTGTGAACAGGATGATAAATGTCCACAAGGCAAAAATACGATCGACACAATGTCCTCACAACAAATCTTGCACTGTGTCTGTTCTTTCATTTCTTGATTTTCCTGTGCTATCTTCTTAACATCAACTGTTTTAAAGGAAAAATAAACGATAGTTATACAATATTATGACAACAGGATATACACTCTATGAATTGTGTCTTTTAATTTTGAAATGTTTTTAGTAGCATTCCATTTTATGATTGATTTTAGGTGTTTTAAAGCCACTTTGAACGCTATTGGCTTCTTCTTGGTGGCCAGTTTTTATCAGTGGAGGAAGAGCACTGACCTTTGGCAGGATAAATGGCAATCCTAGTCAATTAAGATTAGAGTCAAACGCACCTACATGTACCAGGTACAGGGCACAAACACACTACTAAGACGACTCGGCCAATGAGGAGTTTTCCATATATAACCAATAATTATGGAAAATCAAACAATAAATTACAATTTTTTTAATTTTTTGTATCCTAATAAAATCAAAGCAAGAAAAACAATAGCAAATTTATAGTTTTTGATGAATACTGCTAACATATTAGTTTATTTAAAGATAGTGGAAGCTGAAAAGTCATGTCACATATTGCAAAGCATTGTAAACTTTAAATGAAATAAAATAACAACTTCAAAAATAGACTGTTGTCTTAAGGATATTACAGTCTACACAATTAGCCACTAGTCCGATATCGGAGTCTGGACTAGTAAGTTTTTGTAAAACTTTGTTTAGACAAATTAGAAAAATGTTGGAATATTGGTCTTCGGACTAATAGTGGGAAAAGTTTTTGGTGCAGACTGGATATATACTAAACCTTAATTGCCCAGAGATTTAAATACTGTAAATTCAGAAATTATTGCGATGTTTTTATTATTGCGAAAAATGCGACAGGGTTATAATCGCAATAATTTAAACTCGCATTTTGAATTTTTTTATATGAATTAAACAGGATTTTTCTCAATATCGCAAAAATCAAAATCGCATTTTAGTCTAAAATGACAAAATCGCAATAATAAATGCACGCAATAATTTCTGAATTTACAATAGTTGTAAAAATATTGAAAATAGACTATCAAAGATCTGTTATCATTAGTTTATTTTTATTTAACAACTAGTTTCATTTCACATACTATTGTACTACATGTATAAAAATAAGTAAATGTGGTATGACTTGTCAATGAGACAAAACAAACAAATATTTTATTCGTCATTCACAGTGGCAAGAATGAGAAGAATTATATTACAATTGAATTTTGAAACATAATTTATTTTTATTAAATTGATTAATGACTACATTTGTACTGCCTTTAACAATGAGCAAAATGTCAGGTATAAAAGGCCCTTAAATGATGAAGTGTGAAACAATTCAAACAATACAGGTGAAATAATTACCTCTAGGAAGAACTTTCATGCTCTTCTTCATGCTTACGACAGAACTCTTCAAGTTGGAACTCATTGGTATTGTTAGTTCAGATTTAGGTATTTCTCCATTTTCCTCTATTTTGTAAATTTCTTCCATTAAACTTCTGGAGGACATATATGCCCAGCCTAAAAACAAATTTTGGACAAAAAAAGTTTATTATTTCTCCAACTGATCATTCATTAAATTTGAGATTATTCCTTAATAGTGGTCATATATGTATGAAATAAGTGTAAATAATATTACAAATTATGTTAAATAAAGTGCTATAATAAGATGGGGTGCTCATTTCCTGAATCCTGCTTTTTTTCTGCTAATTTTCCCCCACCTTCCACTTTTTTACCTTCTTTTTCCCAGATCCCCACTTTTTTAACCCTTTAAATCTCACATCCCCCCTTTTTTTACCCTCTATATCCCACATCCCAAAAGTGTATCATCACCCTGTTTAATAGTGTGAAAGCCAAGCTTTTGAAGAAAAGGTTGTTGTTAAATCACTCATCTTATTACTGTGAAATATGATTGAATAAATATATTGAGGTAAGATAGGTGCAGTAAGGGTGAATTAAATATAGGAATAAGGAAAACTTGAATTAGTATGGATTTCATGAACTACTCTTAGAAAAAGGTCATATAGCACTCCCCACAAAGATTTACATGTACATGACTTCTTATATATATATATATATATATATAAAACGTCTGAATAATAGTCAACGATTTTTCCCACGAGGGCGCTGGATCGTTACGAGTAACGATACACGTACACAATAAATAAATTATATAAACGCCTAAAAAGTGTACACAACAACACCAATAACAAAAAAAGGAACTATAAATGTACTTATTTATAAATATTTCGGATAACAGATATCCTTCATCAGTAAATATGATTGTGATGTTGAATGAATCATATATCAGTCTACTTAGATTAAACTATACAAATCTTGAAATTTATACAATAAAAATGTCAAACCGAACATCAGGTAAGACGCTTGCACAATTCTAAATATGTGTTAAACACGACATAGGTTATATGACTAATTACAACAGAGAGTTCAAATATATGCTTTAAATAAAAATAATAATGTGCGATATGAACTAGCACAATTCTAAAGCTTTAACGGTGACGACAGTTATGATGTTACAAGAACGATTGCGTCAATAAGAATTCCAAATAAACAGCACTGAACGATCTAAATTTGTAAATATTTCAAATTTGACAACGGTAGAGTAGTTGCAACAGAGTCTGCGTATTTAAACATCGCAAACAAACGGCCGTTAAAATATAATAATAAATTTTGACTAAGGTTAACTAGTTGAACGTGGCTTGGTACTTTTACATCCCTCAAAAAATTAAGCAATTTAAATTGGTATATTCAACAGATTTATTTTAGAGATGAGTAAGGTAAAGAAATAGAAACAGAGACTGTAATAAAAAGTAATACAACCCAAATGTGAAGCACTGCATGGAGTCGAACTACATCTTTTCATTTATCCCATTTGGTGCCAAAGTTGTTAATTTTCTTATCCAAAATCTTTCCCGAGTGAGTCTATCCTCCCTAGACCAAGCAGAGTTGTGGTCAATGATTGTAATGGTCAGTCGATTGAGATCTGCCTTAGTGTGGCCAGGGGATCTCAAATGTCGACTGAGAGGGAGGTCTGGCTTGCATTGGTAGTCGCTACGATGACCATTCATTCGTTTGTGAAACGGCTGTTCTGACTCGCCAACATACTGTTTACCACATTTACACTGTAGGAGATACACAACATTTGTAGTCTTGCAATTCACATTGCAAAATATGGTGTATTCTGTACCAGTGGAGTGACTGTTAAAAGTCTGGGTAACCAGTATTTGTTTGCAAGTCAGACATCGTTTGTTTCCGCAACCCTTGCAAGAGCCCACAGACGAAGAGCCTGCTTGAGATGATAAATCAGCTCTCACCAGCAAGTCTTTAAGGCTTTTGGGCCTACGGAAAGCCAGTACAGGTGGCTCGGGAAAGATCTTGGATAGTTTAGGATGTTTTTCGATTTCTTTCCAATTTTCGCGGATTAGGTGAGATAAGTTGTCAAATTTTGGATGGTAAGTCAACACAAAAGGCACCCTCCTGTTGACCTTTTTGACTTTATATTGTAAAAGTTCATCTCGGCTGATGTTGTTAGCACGAGAAAAACCTTTATCAATGTCTTTTCTTTTGTAGCCCCGATGTTTTAGGTGACCGCGAAGTTCTTGTAGTCGTTTTTTTGCAATATCGTTGGTGGAGCAAATCCTTTTTATTCGCATGGCCTGGCTGTAGGGAATGCTCTTGGTGCAATGTTTAGGGTGACAACTCAAAGGAGATAGATATTGATGTTTGTCTGTGGGCTTGCAATACAGATCTGTAAATATGTTTCCATCCCTCACTTGCGTTGTAGTGTCAAGAAATGTGATCTTAGAGTCAGAGATTTCATATGTGAATTTTATTGAGGGATGGGCATCGTTGGCATGTTGAATGAACAAATTTAGTTCTTGTTCAGTATTATCCCACTTCATGTCAATATCATCGATAAATCGGAACCAAGAGAGGGGTTGATAAAGAGAAGAATTGAGAATTCTCTGTTCTAATTTCCCCATAAAAATATTGGCATAAGACGGGGCCATCTTTGTTCCCATTGCTGTTCCATTAACTTGGAGAAAGTGTTCACCATTGAATGTGAAGTTATTGCATTGTAATACCAAAGTTAGAAGCTGGATGAGACATTCAGTCGGTGGATGTAAGGTGTTACGAGAGTTCCAGACTTCCCTACAGGCTTCAATACCATCGTCATGGGGGATGTTAGTATAGAGGGAGGTAACATCAAGCGAGACAAGGATCGTTTCAGGTGGGAGAGGGTTCAAAGATTCCATTTTCTTAAGATAATGTGTTGTGTCTTGTATATAGGATGGTAAATTTTCCACATGTGGTCTCAGATGAAAGTCAATAAATTCTGATATTTTCTCTGTAGGGTGGTCATTGGTGGAAACAATTGGTCTACCTGGATTATTGACTTTATGTATTTTGGGCAGAAGATAGAAACGCCCAGGCTTTGATTTTTCAGGTTTTAGATATTCAAATGTGTTTTCATCAATATGTCCCTCTTCACACATGTTTTTCAGGTTTGTGGTGATCTCTTTGTTGAATTGAGGGGTGGGGTCAGAGTCTAATTTCTTATAAAATCTCTCATCAGAGAGTTGACGTTCTGCCTCTTGAACGAATATATATATATATATATAAACCTATTAAATATGTATGAGCAAAAAAAGTACATGTAAAAAATAGAGATGCAATTAAAAAACTGTGGAAATATGGCTAAGCAGACAGCAATTTAATACAAATACAGTTTAAATCATTTCCAGTATAGAATCAATCAGAACTTTGTCTTATATTTTATATAATTTCCAGTATAGAAATCAATAAGAACTTTGTCTATTAAAGATATCAAATCTTTGTCTTTGAAATATTTGCCAAGAGTTACAATTACAAGTTTAAAGACTTAGTATAATAACTTAAAAGTAAACAATTTGATTACGATGTATAATGTTTTATGATAATATGAATATTAAATTCATAAACATATCTGAATGAGTCTATAGACAAGGTTGTTTTTCATTGTATACATCATATACAGTGTAGCTCACTAAATCTTTTCTCTGTCAAAGGAGTTAAACTTAAAACTGTTTATATCTAATGAGTAATCCTCTAAAAGTGTCACTATGTTTAAAAGGAACTTTCTAGTAATAGGAAAAGTAGCTTTCAAGTTTTGTAAAGGAAGGTGAAAGAATTTAACTTTTGCACTTTCATTTTCAAACATAAATATCTCGCCATTTGTATCCTATTCATTTTTTATTGGTTGTAAGGTTCATAATTCTTTCACCGAAACTGTTTGCAGGGCTAGCTAGCGCTCAGCCTGCATGCCCAAAAAACAGTCTATAAAGTCAATATTATCATCATTTCTTATGTAATAAATTTTCTGTATTTTCTGTGTTGAATTTGTTTACTTATAAATGAAAAATTGCCGTTACGTGAACTTGATGAAAATAGAAAATTACTGATGACAAAAGCGAAGTTCTGTTGTTCACACCTGCATGACTAGATTTGCTTTCTACAATAGGGAAAAGGGGAGTGATGGATGGGAAAGCGACTTATTCAACCAAGTCAATCAGTAGCATGAGCCTTGCATTTGAAACATATTATTTAACAAAGCAGGATCTTAAAATAAATCATAAATAAAACAAATGCTTCAATTAAAGTATTTCACTATGTTGAGACTAAGATTTTTAAGTCAGTGTCCACAACTTCAATAATAATTGATTTCTATTATAATTAATTTATAAGAACGGATGTGCAATTCTTAATAATATGTAATAATGTTTTCAAATATTTATGGCCAGAGATTTCTCATCTCAATACAACATTGTACAACAAACTGTATCATTTCTCAATGCTTATTTCTAGAAAACAGTGACATTTTGAGAGGATCACCCAGAGGACATACTTGTGTTCCATTTAATTCATTCCCATGTCTTTCTGTTCAGTGAATGAAGCTTAGACCAAGGCTTGTACACACATCTACATATTCCTGAATGTAAATTATACATTGGATTTATATATATAAACAGACCTTGAACTGCTGTGAAAATTTCTTTAACATTTGCCATGTCTGTTAACATTTACAAAACTTTAACATTTACCATCTGAAAAATTATGACTTGTTTTTCCATTTCATGATTTGCATGTGTGGTGGGAAGGAAAAAAGATATATCATCATGCATCTCAAAACATTTACATTTTCTGAAATAGCCATGAGGACTATATTCTAGGACTAGTTGTTGGGTATAAATAGATTATATAAATATACTAGTAGTAAGCGTATAAATGGTAGTGATTTCAAGGAATTAAATCAAAACAGATAAAATTTTAAATCTCAGAAATGAAGAGGTTATTAGAAGGATTTCAGAATTTGTGAGTTATTCTCCATTTTGAATCTTTTGACTACCTTTCTCTCTTAGAACTTTATCAACAACAGTTTTGATAACTTTAGGTAGATATCCCATCGTTAATATACTCTGAGCTGCATCTGTTAATAATGGATTCTTTTTCTCAGCTTTCGTTGGAGGTTTCCCACTAGGTAAGATATCTAAGTTACAAAGAAAAAAAGTAAATATCAAGAGCATACCATAATATCAATGGGTACAGTCTTTTTTGTTCCTCTTCTAACATTACATTCTCAGTTTATAAAATATAGATTTTTCAACCAAACTACTGTATATTCAGAAATTTTATGATTCATTTTTGTGGAAAAGTGTGATGAAATAAGCATATTAGCATTATAAATTTTAACAGCATTTTTTAGTGTTTTTTTTTTTAGAAGATCACAGTAATATAATTTCAATTTTTTTCATATATTGGAAATCATTAATAGATACACACACTGTAATCTGGAGTCAAAATTAAAACGCTTTGTATTCTTAACTAAAGGCTCCAAGGAGCCGGTGTCGCTCACCTGATATTATTGTTCATAATTGATGCATGAAATAATGCAACCATTATACTTTTGTTTTAGTTTCAGAGATATAAGCCAAAAACTGCATTTTACATCCATGTTCTATTTTTAGCCATGTCAGCCATGTTGGTTGGCAGGCAGGGTCATCGGACACATTTTTACAATTAAATACCCTAATGATGATTGTGGCCAAGTTTGGTTAAATTTGTCTCAGTAGTTTCAGAGAAGATTTTTGTAAAAGATTACAAAAATTTACGAAAAATTGTTAAAAATTGGTCATGTTTGACTTATTTGTAGATCTTACTTTGCTGAACATTACTGCTGTTTACAGTTTATCTCTATATATAATAATATTGAAGATAATAACCTAAAAAAACTGCAAAATTTCCTTAAAATTACTAGTTCAGGGGCAGCAACCCAACAACGGGTTGTCTGATTCGTCGTAAGAAAATTACAGGGCAAATAGATCTAAAACCTGATGAACATTTTATACCCCCCCCCCAATGTCAGATTTCCTATAAATGCTTTGGTTTCAGAGATATAAGCAAAAAACTGCATTTTACCCGACGTTCTATTTTTAGCCATGTGGGCCATGTTGGTTGGCAGGCAGGGTCATCGGACATATTTTAAAACTAGATACCCCAATAATGATTGTGGCCAAGTTTGGTTAAATTTGGCCAAGTAGTTTCAGAGGAGAAGATTTTTGTAAAATTTAACAATGACGACGGACGCCAAGTGATGAGAAAAGATCACTTGGCCTTTCAGGCCAGGTGAGCTAAAAATTAGCAGTTGTTTGGTTGCTGTCTCACTCATTTTCATCTCAGATAAATTTTTATTAGTACATGTAAGTAAATTGGAAAAAAAATCCCCATGTAATCAGATTAAAGGCTGTATACCATAGAAAACAATTGCAATAATTTTGTACTAAATTTCTGCACATTTTGATTTTAAAAAAATTAACAAACTTTTTTTTTAAACGTCTAAGCAGCAAAATAAAAAGAGATACCCTTTCATACTGCATCTGAAACACCATCATTCAATGATGAAATGCCCAAATAAAATATGAGTAAAAGGAGATATATCTTGAATTCTATTTTCTTTTTGAGTCCAGGATAAATAATATTGAATTGAACAGTTTATCAAATGAAAGTTAATTGTGTGTAAGTTAAACTACATTATTTACCTTTGCCTGTGACTTCTGATCTGATATTTCCATCTTCTTCATAGTCATTCTCAAAAGTCTCTGCTACTCCATCTGTGTTCAACGCCTCCTCCTGAAATATCAAAATCATCCACACTGATTGATTCATCAATGCTTGCTGAACATCTATTGGCAAATATTATATGCATATGGAATGACGATAACATGCTAATGTAACATGAATATCTATTTAGTCAAATTCAAGTAACAATGATCAGACGCATGCTTAATAAAATAAACAGCTGCGCCATGAATGCATGATACGCCCGTCGTCTTATGTGTGAATTTTTATGCAATAAGCATAAATAGTTTCTGACATATGGCGTGACATGCAAAAACCCCCTTTTTTTTTTACAAAAAACTCAAAACCCCTCCCCCTTTTTAACAAAATACTCAATATCTCTAAAATAAAATTTTGAATCATCACCAAAAAGTATACAGATCTTAAGATTAATATAACTAAGAAGTGTGTAAAGTTTTAAGCAATAATCATAAATCGTTTTTGAGATACGGCGCGACATGTGAAAAAAAACACACACCTGTTTTAGTTACTAAGTCCTGTAACTCAAAAAGTTTTAATCTTATTTTCACCAAAAAATATACAGATCGTTTGACCATCATAAGAAACAACTATGTTAAGTTTCATGAAATTTGGATAAGTCATTCTCAAGTTACGGTGCGACATGTTTACGCCGGACAGACAGACGGACGGACAAACGGACGGACGCCGGACATTTGTATAACATAATACGTCCCGTCAAAAATTTGACAGACATTTCCCTTAAAATAAAATAAAAAGGTGCTAATGCAAAACAAACCAAACATCTGTGACCAGGAAAAAGTACTAATATAAAGAACAAACCCACAAGTAGAAAACTAGATATCAATATTCCAAAGTCACTGAAGCATGACATATAAGTAAAAGGTTCCCCGAAACCTGTCTCTCGTCTGTGATTTCTGCTGTCAGTGTAAAAGTGTAAATGTTGACTGCCAAATAGTCAAATCCTTTATCAGTAAATACAGAAAATAAAATAAAATAAAATGTTTTTCTTCAGATGCTATTTCTTAGTAATAAACATGAAAAATCTTCTGTAGATGTTTACTTTCGATGAACATGATGAAGGTTTGAAAAAGTTATTGATGTGTAAGTATTTCACTCTTATGTAAGTAAATATTAACTGTAAACTGTATAAAACTATCAGTAAAATATAAAATTTTTTAAATTTTTTTCAAATTTGGTTCAAGATGCTATCTTTGATCACTAAGAAGCATCTGTCCAAGTTTCATAAAATTCTTTGTGAAGTTTTATCAAAGTTATTGATGTCAATTGAAAATTGCTGCAAGTTTTGTTAATCCAAAATCGATTTTACATATATCCATATTGGTCAATCAATTTTTCTCAAATTAAGTTAAGAGAGGGGTGGTGGGACAGCGAAAACACTATGTGAATTAAGTTTTTTATCCTACATTGAACTTTTGATGTCGTCCCTTATATCATGAAGAAGAAATATGTCCTAGTTTCTTAAATTCCACAATGGTTTCACAAAGTTATTGATGTCTAAAAAACATCTAACCACAGAATGAAACTAAAGGTAGCAAACAATACTCATAGTAATGCTGCAAAAATCTCAAAACAAGAATGTACTTTATGCTTAGCTTTATCATACCCCAACTCATAATTCAAAGTTTTGAAACAGGAAGTAGGTGTCTGACAAATAAAAAAATCCTCACACATTACAACTCCTCACTCTTAAGCTGCTAACCAAATATGAAGTCATTAATTTGTTTCAAATAAAAGTGACAAAATATATGTCATGTATATCGGAAGAACAAATGGACAAAGGATTGTAAAATAATCCCCACTCCTAGAGTGGGAGTATAATAATGCACACAGTAAATTCTGAATTACCAGTGAACTGTCTTCTCTATAAAGTTGTAGTCAGACAATATCACTTGACTTACCATCTGTACTCTCCTGACAGCATCTTGTACAGTAGCAATGAAGTCTAATCCTTTCTTGTCTTTGAGGAATTGACATTCTGAAGACCACCTAGCATGTTCTACGAAAGGATTATCTTCAGAGTCCCAGTTCTGTAGTCCAATACCACAGTGAAAACATCGTACATGGTCATTGTTTCCTGTAAATATAAATAAATTTAAAAGATCATTGTCTTCTGAGTCTGAATTTTATTCTGTAGTCCTATTTCACAACTGTTCATTATCATTGCTACCTGTAAATACAAATTTACATATGAATTATTTTTCAGCTCCAATTCTGTTAGCATTCAAACTGAAAAATAGGAGGAAAGATTTTGATTTAACTTTAGAAATGTAAAAAGTAACCATCTGTCATCAAAATGAAAAAAACAAAACAAAACAAAACCCCATTTAACTGAAAATATATTGCTTTACTAAAAGCAAACACGATTTCAAGCATTGTCTTGCTAAGCATACCCAATGTGTACTTCAAATTATCACTAAACAGGAAGTAAGTGTTTTAAAGATTGGATAAAAGTCCACACATAACCAATCATGACTGCCTAGCTGCTGACCAAATATGTATACACTCTATTCAGTGGTATACCAAAGAAATGTTTGAGAACATATTTTTAAGTTCATTCAACATAGTGAAAAATTAGAAGAATGGGAAAACAGGAAGTACGACAGATGTCTGACAGATCCAAAAATTGCACACATGTTATACAACTGATCAGGGTCAAGCTGCTGATCAAATATGAAATCAATCTGTTCAGCAGTACTAGCTGCAGAAATGTGGGTAGAACAACTTTTTGATTCACCATTTTGAAAAGTCTTCATACATATATTCACAGTACATGTAATGGCAAACAGGAAGTAGCCTTCTAACATTTTTTTTTTAATATCAGTTTGCCCTGATAATGTTTGACTAACCATGTATGTTCAGAAATTGTTGAATGAATAGGACATAGATAATATGTCAATCGATTACTGACCATAAAAACTATTTAAATCTTACTTCGATAACAAGAAGCCAAAAGTTCAATTATATCATTTATCAGAAAACTTAAAATGGTGGCTTTTAAATGTAATACAACAACAAAAAATTCTTCCCATATACTTTTTTTACTTGATATATATTTACTAATATATTTTTGCAAAATAGAATAAACCCATTACATATATTACATCAGCATGATTAGAGCATTAGTAGTTTTATTATAACCGTCCTTTTCTTCGCCTGTACTAAGATAGTGTTACTGTGTCCAAAAGTTGTCATGATGATCTGGTTGTCCAATAAATAGATCATAGTGCTCAGCTTAGATTGATTACAACTGAACATCCTGTTTCATATGATTCATGGGCTGCCACCATAAATTTTCTTGGCCTGCCACCAAGAAGTGAAGATTCAATATTATAGTCATGATAGGGGAAAATCCTAAATTTGCAAAGTTAGTACTGTATGAATATATATTCTAAGCAAAGCTGAAAAAAACATACCTGGGAATAGAGTATGTGTAAAGGAGACAATATCAAATTCAAAGACAATATCCAAGAAAAAATGTAAGTACCTATAATTATATAATTTATGTGATATATTTAAGTGATTATACATGTAACTGTTTAATTTTCCAAAACCAAATTTTACATAAATGTAAGACAATATTTTCAACTTAGAGGTAAATGTATATGTCTTGTAAACTTTTAAAGGATTTTCTCTGGATGGCACTTCCTGTAATTTTAACCGGCAGTGCAACATGAATGGACAGTGACCAATTTTGTAATCAACTCATTCAATATGTTCACGGTTATTTTACAATTTTCAGTTAAATATTTGACAGAGTTGACAACTATTTTTGGCAGTTATCAAATAAACTTCCAATTTTTCAAGAACCTGAATATTCAATTTCCTCCAATTCAAAACATGAATATTAAATATAAAAATGTACACAATTATTACAAATTACATAAAATAGAAACCAATCTTATAAAGTTTAAAACACGATAAAAATAAAGGAAACTGTAAATGTAGGTCTTGGTATTTTCTGTGCTATCATACAATACCTTATATGGTATTCAACAAGTACAGTGAAATATATGTTTGTTAAGGTGTATTTAAAGATATGCAAAATGTTTATTGTGTACATAGTTTTTACATTTTTGTTTTCAGGGATGACGTATAACTATTTTTAACACAAAACCTTAAAGTGTGCACAGTACTGTGTTGTCATATAAGGAAGGTTAAATACATATACCAGTAAGGTAAAGTTGTAAATAGAATTTTGTTGTAATACTATATTTATCCCCAAGAGGAACTCTTGGTTTGTGCAATATTTCTTTCGTATAAACCAGAAAATCTATTGTTTCAGATTTAGTACAAAATGTAGAGTTTGCTGAGAAAAAAGATCAGAAAAAAAATTGTGCAAATACAGATGTTAAAAAAAATAACAGTACATTTTTATTTACATGCATTAATGATTGTTGTTTCCACATAAACATATAATAAATACATCATGTACATGCTCATTTTGTAAAATTCACTGCTTATTACACATTTCATAGTTTTTCAGCTGTATACATCTGCACATCTTGTGCAAATACTTGAAAAAGAAAAAGACTTTCATTAGCAAACATACCTTAAAACTAACTCCCGAGAAAAATGATATCAATAATTTTTTTGTAAAACATAATTTAAAAGGGGTTTAAGAAATCATGTACCATACAATTAATTCCAGCTCTACCATGTCTATCGGTTTTAAAATTCTGTCACAATCATTGGGATTCATCATTATTTGACCAAAAATAATCTTCTGAAAAGATTAAATTTTGCACCTGTATAAACACGAGATAAAGATACGCTGTGTTTAAAGTTATGGATTGTCTTTGCATTCTTGGTGTTTTTTGTTCTTAGACATGTTTATAACATTGGGTGTTGATGGCAAACTGTAATTTTGAAAAAAAAAGATGTATTATTAGTGTCAGAGAACAAACTACATAGGAGAAATGATTCATTGCAGAGCAAACCCCCTTTTCAAAAACTTTACCTGTATAGTAAAACCCAGCCTCTGCCATAGTTTCTGGGTGTTGTTGTATACTGGTTGGCCATGTTTGGAATGTGGACAATCTGATACATGTTATAGAGTATTGAGGATATTTAGGTCCTCGTCTCGAGTTCTGTGAGTTGTTAAATGTTGTAGTCCTAGCACTATCTGGGTCACTGCGTGTATTTTGGTTGAAAAAATTGCCTGCATTTCCTTGAAAACTAGGGTTTCCATTTCTGTATGTGTCCGGCAGATCATCCCTGTTTAAATTTTTAAAATTTCCTGGTAATGCATTGTCCATCATTCTTCACATACTATTATCCTACAATATACATTATAGTGTAAACATGTTTTATTAAAGAATTTGTTATGTCATGTATGTATAGCTACAAGAATAAATAAATATGAAATGAACAAAAAATAAAAAAAATGGGATAAGGAAACAAGAGCAGTGCTCTTATATAAATCCATCTCCCAAACATTAAAAAAATCACACAAGTTTATTTTGCATGCTTAAATATACTAAATGTTCATTATTCCATTAAAATACTTTCAAATTCATGTAACAAATTCGATGAAAATAGTGATAAATATAAAAAAGAAGATGTGGTATGATTGCCAATGAGACAACTCTCCACAAGAGATAAAGACTGTTTTTTCAGCAAGTTTTGCATGCTTTTCATTAGTAATGTTGCTAAAACAACACTTTTATTATTTAAATATTATCTGTGCTTGCTACTGTGTCATATGCCCTTAAGTGTCTGAATAAAATATAATGAAACCTAATATGGACAGCAGTGTAGTGCTAAATTTTTAGGATGACAAAAAGCCATTTTGTGATCCATGTATGATGTATGTACTTTAAAACACACTGTGGTTTCAAGATGCTATACTTCACATGAGACTGATGATTTTGAAGCATTTGTCTGAATGCAAAAAAAAATTGTTCTAAAATTTAGTTAAAAGAGCCACAACAAAAAAAGAGAAAAGAATATTAAGAAACTAATTACGAAAGATACTTTCTCTGAAAATGGCAAAAAGATGGGATTGGGACACCTTTTTAACACTGAAAATTTAACAATTTAAAAAAAAAAAGAATGAAAACCTAGACCTTAAATAATATAGCTCATTTATTGCTTAAACAATATCGGGTGCTTAACATGTATACCATATTCCTTATCTTGAAATCACGCATCAAATTTATTCAACCATTGCCCCATCCCCCCCACGAAAATAAAAACAACAAAAAACAAAAAAAAAATAAAATTAAAATTAAAATAACTGGATCAAAGATTGATGCTGAAGGTTTTTTTTATTTCCCTTCAGGGTTGAGGGGAATCAAATTAATCCATTCATTCGTACAGGTCTTATTGGTATTCTTTACATTTATCTATTTTGCAAGATACATGTTTAAATATAAATAATAAAAAGATGTGATATATGATTGCCAATGAAACTAACTATATATCATATGTATATTGATATTTTAATATTCAAACAAACAATTTCCTTTTTTCTTCTTTGTTTTTAAAAAACCTTTAAAAAATGCATACATGACATTTTTTATACAAATGTATTTATAAGCATAAGAAACCTACTAGCCTTCATAATATGTACATTATAAGTTTTAAATTTAAATTATGTCAGTTCTATTTAATAATCTAAAAATAGCATAAAAATTCCATATGATATATTTATACACAATATCATACACCAAACATTACAAGGATTTATAAATATCAATGTTCTGAATGTTCACTGGAATTTCCCCATCACGTGAACAAACACAACTTACACATGCACTTGTTTTCTTTCCTGTTTACATCTTTAAGATGCATTTTTTGCAAGGATGACTTATTCAGGTACTCAATACAAAAGAATTACTGTTATATAATTAATTGATCACCGACAAATTAAATTCTGTTTTGATAACAAAATGTCAAACGTACATGTTTATAGATAATATTCATTAATATTAATTACTATGTATATGTACACATGGTATATTAGCAATGTGTGACATGTTTAAACATCATACATTATAGGTTGTATAGGCCTCTAGACAGCAAACAATTATTATTTAAATTAACACTTAAAGGACTATGATAAAGTTATCGTTTTCAATAAATTGTATTTGCTGAATCCAATTATTAACATGCAAAAAAGGAAAAAAAAAAAGAAGAAAAAAGAATGAATAAAATGATCTGACTGCAATTCATTACTATGATAAAAACCAAGACGTCTAGACGATGTCTGATCTGATTTGAGCTATAAATTTGTAACCAAACTGTGTTGAGTGCTATAAAGTCTGGCACTCCTGAAAAAAGGTTACTTTACAATGTACCTCATCCTTTTCAAATGGATGCATTTTTTTGGAATCTTATATCTGTACATGTAATAATGTCATAATATAGGAATGTATTTGGTGGAATAAAATTTTGAACATATATAACAACCGGAAGTAGATTGATTCATTGATGGATTAGTGATTAACGCCACTTTCAGCATCATTTGCTTTTTCTTGGCGGTCAGTTTTTATTGATGGAGGAAGCCAGAGCGTCCGGAGAGAACCACCTACCTGTGGTAGGAAAATTAAGACTTGAAAAGTTACGATCCTAGTCAATTGAGATTGAATTCGAATGGTACCACATGCAGGATTCAAACTAACAACCTCAGTGTTGACAAGCTAGTGATATAGTATTTTGACTACTTAGAGGACTCAACCACCAAGGCCCTTCATGTTAATACATCATGTATCCTAAGTATCGATAAGCTGCTTATTAATAAGCAGTAGCAGAGAGGAAATAACAATGCTTTTGGTCATTTTAATCAGCTTTTAAATATCATTTAAATTAGCTTTTAAATATTTGAACTGATTAATGAAAAAAGGTTAATTTTTGCCTATATTTATTGAAAAAAAAACACCACCATACTAAAAACCATCCCGGGCTTCAAATCCGGATAAAAAATACAAAAAAAGAGACAGTTACCTTTTAATTTATCATTAAATACATGATGTGCAAACAACTTATACTTTATCCTGCATGTATTATTATGAATAGTTCAACTTTAAGACTTAAATTAAGCATGTTGATTCTTTTGTCTGTTATGTAAACTTGCCTCTTTGCAAATTTTTATTGCTTGGATTGATTGATTAATTTTTGGTGCATTACTTTCAGCACTATTGGCTATTTCGTGAAGGACAGTTTTTAATGGTGAAGGAAGCCAGAGTGCCTGCAAAGAACCTTGACCTCCAGCCAAAAAAACTGGCAATCCTAGCCAATTAAGCCAACTAAAAATTCGTAAGGGTTCCGCAGAACCCAGTGTCTCGCCTACTTTTGCTGTTAATCACAGGCTCAACAAAAATGAGATGAGGAAAAAATTTAATAAAAATATTCCTCTCGATACAATTTTTTTATTGTAAGAAGCTTCTGTCCAAGTTTGGTAAAAATCCAGGATAATTTATGAATCTAATAAATGTTTTAAAAAATTTAACTGCAGACTGTATGTAATGTTAACTGGAAGAAAAACTAAGTCCATTTATAAGTAAAATATGGATAAACAAGTACTAAATTTTAATAAAAATTTCCTTCTAGATACTAGCTTTTGATCATAAACAAACTTCTGTCCATGTTTGGTACAAATCCAGGATAGTTTAAGAAAGTTATCAAAATTTTTTAAAACTTTTACCACAGAGTGAATGTAATGTTTCCTGGTAGAAAAACTAAGTCCATTTATGAGTAAAATACGGAAAAACAGGAATTTTTTTTTTTAAATTTACTTCTTGATACTATCTTATGGTCATACACAAGCTTCTAACCAAGTTTGGTAGAAATCCAGGATAGTTTGAGAAAGTTATTAAAATTTTAAAAACTTTAACCACAGAGTGAATGTAATGTTTCCTGGCAGAAAAACTCAGTCCATTTATAAGTAAAATACGGAAAAACAGGAATTTTTTTTTACAAAATTTACTTTTGAATACTATCTTATGATCATAAACAAGCTTCTGTCCAAGTTTGGTAGAAATCCAGGATAGTTTGAGAAAGTTATTAAAATTTTAAAAACTTTAACCACAGAGTGAATATTTGTGGAAGCTGCCGCTGACGGAATGTAGGATCGCTATGTCTCGCTTTTTCGACAAAAGTCGAAGGCTCGACAAAAATGCACTTACCATGTGTGGGGTTGGAACTCACTTATTAGTTGGATAAATACAAAATGTTAAACATTGTTAAAAGATGAGATACCATCACTTATTACTATTACATAGATATAAGAAGATGTGGTATGAGTGTCAATGAGACAACTCTCCATCAAAGTCAAAATTTATAAAAGTAAACCATTATAGGTCACAGTACAGTCTTCAACACGGAGCCTTGGCTCACACCGAACAGTAAGATATAAAGGGCCCCAAAAAATTACTAGTGTAAAACCATTCAAACAGGAAAACCAACGGTCTAATCTATATAAAAAACAAGAAACGAGAAACAATTATGAACCACATCAACAAACGACAACTACTGAACATCAGATTCCTGACTTAGGGCAGGTGCAAACAAATGCAGCGGGTTTTAAACGTTTTAATGGTACCAAACCTTCACCCTTTTTCTGAAACAATAGTGTAACATCACAACATAGAAAGACACACTATAAAATATCAACTAAAATAGCTTAACTCAATCAAAGGACATATTAACACCATTGAACATACACTGAACAAATAACTTTGACCTATGACACAATGTAAATACAAAATAAATAAACTAAGGGAAGAATAATAAAAGTCACATGTTATATCGGTAAGAAATGTTAAACAATTAAAGAAAAACAATATGCTCGAACAAAAATATCAGCCATTTGCAATAACTTTAAACACAGGTAAATGAAAATAATTTTGTTGTTAGGTATACGTGTACAGTACCAATAGAGAAAGGAAATATTTTTACAAAATAAATAATATAGATGTTCATAGTACGAAGTGAAAATTTATAGATATACCAAACACTTATCAAAGCTGGTTTATAGACCAGATATAACCCTGAATAACATTAAATAACAAAAAAGCAATACAATTAGTATCAACAGGTCAAATAAAGAAGAAAGTAAGATTTGAGAGTACTCGCAGTTACTGACAGCGTTAAAAGCCAAAACAATTAATAATAAAAAATCATGCATCAGAGACTAAAATCAACTAAAACACATCCCAGGGATTTAGTATTTTAACGTCATGGACAGTCAAAGAAGACATGACTAGTGCAATGCCAAAAATGAATGTATCGACAGACAGTAGGATAGTTAGGAGTTTAACCTCTTTATAGATCTAAA